CTTGTCACTGTGATGAGAGATATTGCTGACAAGATCATTGTACAAAAGGAATCATGTGAGCTCTTAAAGGCAGAGAGCTTTCCCTGCCTGGGGGCAGAGACTGGAAGCAAGAGTGGGCTTGAACATGGGGAAGGATGGATGGGGAATGCAGGCAGCCCCTGGATGACATCCAGGAAGTAAATTGGTCCTCAGTCCTAAAGCTGCTGGGAACTGCCTTCTGCCAGCAGCCTAAATGAACACGGGAGTGCATTCTTCCCCAGAGCCTCCGCAAAGAAGGGAGGCCCTGAGCAGAGGGTCCCATTGCGTTGTGGGTCAGATGACATATCTGTGGTATTGAGCCACTAAGTTTGTGGTAATTTGTTAACTGGATAATAGCAATCTGTTACAGGTGGCAAATGACATCTTTGTAGAGAAAAAAACCTCTTTCTTGGTAGCTGTCAGAGCTTTTCACTTCCAAAATTTCTATGCTGACAGTGTAACATGTTTTCTTAATTTAGCCATATTCTTCTAAAGGAGGAAATATACATGGCTGTTACAACATTGATTTTGATGTTTTGGGGTTTTGGTTTTTTGGTAGAAATATAGTAGTGCAATGACTTGCTACACTAGTACTGACATTCAGGTCCAAGCCCACGGGCAGTGAGGTTGTGCCAGCCCTTTGCTCCCAGGCAGTTTTGTACAAACCTTTTTGTACATATGTATAAAGATGAATTCTTAAGAGAAGAGTTGCTGGGACAAAGTACACATGCATTTGTAATTCTGAGCGAAATTGCCAAATTGCCATCTTAGGTGGGAGGATTACCAGGTTGCTTTCACACCAGCAATGTGTGAGAGTGATTGTTACCTCATACTTTTGCCAATGTGGGTATTTGATATTTTTAAAAACTCTTGTTAATGATGAAGGCATTTCTCATTTGAGCTTTAATTTGTATTTCTCATTGTGAGAAAGGCTAAGCATCTTCTTACGTTGTAAGAGCCGTCTGTATTTCCTTTCCCATTTTTTTGATTAAGTCATTGCTTGATATGTTATAATTTGAGATCCGTTGTAAACACAAGCCCTCTGTATCTTGCCCTCCTTCTCTAGTCCTTTCACATGTTCCTCCTGGCTTAAAAAGTAGGCCCAACCAGACCATTTCCTGTGGTCCTACACCTGTTGATGAAAATCAGGTGGACAGATTTACTTTTAATAGAGCACAAAATGTTTTAAAAATAGCTTTGCTGGTAAATGAAAAGGGCCCAGTGGAGTTTTGCAATAGAGAAGAAGAAGGAAGTGGCCGAGAGGGAGGTTGGAATGTAATGTAGTAAAAGGAGCAAGGGAAGGAAGTGAAGCAAAAAGCAGGTGGGGAAGGTTAGGGCGAGGGAAGGTACAGCTGGTGTCCCGCAGGGAGGAAGTCCTCTCCAGTGTCAAATTGCTAAGTTCCTTCCAGCGACTGAGAACACTACGTGTTGAGTCTGTTATGACAGGCCTGCCAGTGGTCGTTTGTTCTCTTAAAGGGAAACAGAGGTGGGGGGGCATGCCAACTTCTACCAGGGATATGTGATAAGTTTTCTGTTTGCTATAAGTGTTTGGCAGCCTTGATAAAATCATTTAGAACAATGCATTGATAGAAAAGCCACCATTAAGTGACTTGAGGACAGCAAAACAAACTTGTCATTCCTAAGAAATAAGAGCAACTGGGATTTAGGCCTAGACAGAATCCAGAGGTTTATTTGGGCATAATTGATTACAACATCTTAAAAAAAAAGGGGATTTTTATGAAAATTTTTTTGCAGTGAGATTGCTTTACATTCTTCTTCATGACTGGAATGTCTCTTGTTTGAGAACCAACAAAGAACTTCAGGAACAGAGGGCTTCAGTTTTCTCAACACATTTGAATTTTCTCATCATGAACATTCACACCTTTTGTCAGTAACTGCAGAGTCGTGTGTGGCCTGATCCTCCCTCGAGGAGGGGAAAGTATGTTCCCCCGTGTTGTGTGGGCACAGAGTCTCCTTCTCCCTTAAGCCAGCACTGCCCCACAACCTCCCACACATCACCCCACTCGCTGTTGCTGTCCAGAGGAGCTAGGGAGCTATTGGCTGAGCCTCTGAGAGGGGACTGCAGCCTCTTGACTTACCTAGACTCCTCTGGTTAGACCCTGGAACTGTGTTTGAAGCTGTCTTCCTCATTTCATTGTTGCCATTAAGTCCTTGTGGGTAGATTGATAGATTTTACTCAGCCTGATAGCAGCAACAAGTTGAGCTCTTGAAAGATGCTGTCGCTGTGCTCAGGGATCATTCTGCATGAGGCCTGGTCCTGACCTTCATCATGTGCTCTTCTCTAGCTGATAATGGAAGGAACCTCTCCAGGGGCTGTGATGGCCCCGTGAGTCTTGCTCATTTTCTTGCTCTTGAGAGGGTAAGGCATTTGTTGGTTTGTATGTATGTAAATCAGCAGTTTTCCCATAACATCCTGATCTAATAAGAAGGGAGAGTTTACCTCTGCTATTGCGAGGCTTGTTGAGGCTTGGATGTTACCTGCTGAGAATGTTTCGTGATGTCCTTTGGGGGATCGGAGAGGATGGAGTGAGGGTAGGAGCATAGATCGAGGCGGCTGGAGTTGTTCCTGTTTGCTGAACAAGCAGAGCTGGGTCTCGGGGCTACTGCAAACGCAGACGCAACTGTGTGGGAGTCCCCGTGGCGCACCTGAGACAGGAGACTCACAGGGAGAGGATGACGGATGTCAAGTGTGTGGCTAGTCTGGCTGCCGCCTCAGTGCAGGTTTTTGTTCCGCTCTGAGGCTCTTCCCTCCTACTGCTAACCCTTGCCCCCTTCAGGGCCTGGGATAATATGAATTGTTACCCTGGATGTCCCTTTTTCATGTGAATTACTTGAGGTTCAGAACAGGAGTAAGAGAACATTTTGTCTTGATTTCAGCTTCCCATCTGACTCCTGCCTCCTCTCAAGGACACTGACCCTGGGAGCATCTCATTCCGCAAATGAGACCTGACTCTCCTTTCACAGGGTTTGCCTTCTCTTCAGAATATAGACAGTATGTGTGTTTCATGAGGCCCCTGTCCTCAGAATGTAACAGGGAAGGAGATAACAAGATGTTGCCTTGTGTCTGATTGAGCATGCACTTGGCCATTCTTCACGTGGGGAGGGCACTTCCTTTCTGCCTCAGTCCGAGTGACTCAGCTTGACCCAGCAGCCTCGAGGAATGAGAGCTGAAGGCACAAGGATGCGCACCTACTTTCCTGTCCTCCCTTCTTCCCAGGTCTGCTTGGGGAGGCTCCTTCTCTACACCATGACTGGCCTTTGGCCCCGCCTACAGATACTGAACAAAACTGGTCACCCTCACAGGTTAAAGAAGGGAACGAGAAGTTTAAGGAGGCTGTCCATCTCAGAGTAGGGTTGGGACTGAATATTAGAGACCAGGCCGATAGTAGGAGCTAGGGACATTAGTGTGGCTCTCCTTAGCCCGCCTCCTGCGATATAACAGTAAAGGCTCCCTGTTCCCATTTCGGGAGAATAGAGGGGCCCATGATAGCTGTCTGGGAGGAGGGCGCAGGAGAAAGAATTGTGGGGAGTGGGTAGCTCATGCAATGGGAATGTGGTAGCAAAGTGTTGAGGACCCCCCCCCTTTTGTTTTAGAAAGAATCGTAACCAAGTAGTGCAAGATTATTTGGGGGAATGTCATTTTTCTGGCTCCAGATGAACTTTAGATTCTTAAGAACTTTGACCAAAAATGCTTTTAGAAAATAAATGTGGATTCTTTGGTGACTCTGAAGATGTGCTTGTTGAGTAATACTACATAATTTTAGCATATACACGTGGCATGATAACGTATAACTTCGTGGATCAAGTTTCATTCGGTTGACTTGGGTCTACGATGATGTTTCAGCTCCTTGTTGAGGAACAGGAGTTGCTGTCCAGTGAACCTCAGGCAGAGTGCCGGTTCTCTCTGGTTCTGTCCAGGCTGATGCACATGCTAGACAGGGGAGTTGGTGATGGAAGTCAGGGGTTACTTAGCTGCAGTGCCAGGATGAGAGTATGCCCCAGGGGTGACTCTTCGCAAGAGTGGAGGCTTGGCCTCAGCTGGGGAATGGTGGCCAGAGTGGGGCTTTCCCGAATCAAGGGACAGGGCTGAGGGCCTTTTGAGTGGGCCTGGGGAGGGTGGGGAGGAGATGCTGGCTTGCCCTTGATAACAGACTCAGTACTATTTCCACGTGGCCCCTGAGGTTGCACAGAGCAGATGCTCCCTCAGAACAACTGTCCTAAGGAGGGAAGAACACACTTGCTGCTGTGAGGGCCGAGGAAGCTCAGGAGTCAGTCTTGATGAGGCCTCGCAAGTGCCCTGCAGAGGCTGGAGTGGAGGTTGGGGGACGCCCTAAACAGTAGTTGTACAAACTCAGCTCAGCTGTACTCCCTGTTCCTATTTCTCTCCTCTGCTTCTCTTTCCACCATGGCATTTCCTCACCCTCCCGGAGCTTTTCTCTAAGTTTGGCATGTTCAGGGAGTCTCCCCTCTGCGTAAGGAGTGCTGGCAGGGGCTTGGGAGTTTGTGGACCCACTGCCAAGTGGTGAGGGCGGAGGAGCTCTTGTGTCCTGCCAACCTCCACAAGGATGACCCTAGATATAGGGTTAGAGAGTGCTGGCTGGGGGAAGTAAGGCTGGCAGGGAAGGTACGTTAAGTTCCTTTTGTATTTGCATGTACCTGTGGTGCTTGGTTTCTTGGCTTATGTATGAACTAATTTAAGTTTAGATGCTTAGAAGATGAATGACTGTTGAATCCATACAAGGTGGATGCTGCTGCTCCACGGTCTCAAATATTCTTGACTACAGTTTTACCGTCATCTGAGAAAAGAATGCTGCTTGTTCTGTTCTTGGCTTGGCTCGTAGGGACCTAACACGAGTACTGCTCACTGAGCAGTGGGCAGCAGCAGACCCAGTGCCATTCAGGAGAAGGTGTTCGTGGTCCCCTGGGTCTCCCTAAAAACTGACCAGCGGTATGTGTTGCAGGCTGGGGGCTCCTCGGTGGCGTCGGCTCCAGTGTCCTTCGCTCGCACTTCCGTCACGCCCTCCAATCAGGACATCTGCAGGTAACACTCTGCTCGCTGCCGTGGCTCGTGTGCGTCCTGGGAATACGAGTTAATGTCTGCAGATTCTTGATTCTCCGTATGCCTCTGCTCTGAACAGTCAGCCTGGTTTTATGTGCTGTGTGCTCACCAGGTTACCATGCGAGTCTCATTTCTTCACTTTGATGTCTATTCTCTTTTAATATTGTTTTTTACTTTCTGTGCTTTTATTCCACTGTTCTCTGCATGCAGTTCCAGTGCAGTGTTTTCTGAGTGTTGTCACCACAGTCCCGTGCCATCTGCTGTTGTCTTGAAAGCTCCTCCCTGCCAGAGTTCTCTGACCCAAGGGCTCACTGTGACAATTGTCTGTCAAGACACAGCGCAGGCGTCAAAGAGAAATTCCTGTGGTTCAGAGTGGGTCCAGGCCTTGAAGCCTACTAAGAATACCAAAGCCAGGACACTAAAGTTCTCAAAATCCCTAAACGATGTGGGTGAGAACGCCCGGGATGCCTTGGAAAGTTTTGACTACGCGGAGAGAACCTGCTCTGAAGGGAAACTGGTACTTCCTCAGGACCCATGTCTCAGAACCAACAGGTTCCACCAGAGAGAAAGAAGAATACTGAATCGCAAAGCCCTGGGCAGTTCCAAGCATTCTTGTGTCTCATCCCTTTCTGCCAATCGTTCAGCAGCCTCAGAAGCAGGAGCCAGCAAGGGGGGCATGCATGTCCTGCTTCTGGACGAGAAGGCGGATGGCGAGGCCCTGTCCCGAAGCCGGAGGCTGCTGCGGTACCTGCTGTCACTCTCACACGGCTCGAGCACCAGCAGCCTGCACCGTTTCCACGAGCTGGAGAGCCGTGCCACCAGCCTGCAACCCGCCAAGTCCTCCAGCAGGCTGGCCGGGAGTGCCGGCTTCTACTCCGATGAGATGGGGGACGACGACGTCTTTGAGGAGAGCACATCTGCAAAACTGAAGAGCAGGGTGCTGCGGGCGCCCCTCTGCTCCGTGGAGAAGGACAGTGACCTGGATTGTCCTTCCCCCACCTCTGAAAAGGGCCCCCGCATCTCTCCTGTGTCCACATCAGGGGATGCCTGCAGGTTGGTTTGCTGAGAACCACCATCCTGGCCACCTCTGCTCCCCGTAGCTCCACGGCCTCATCTTGCTTTAATATGTGAAGTTTCCGGAGAATGTGTAGGCAGTTGTACACAATTACAGATTAATAGTTTTTCTCCAGAAGAATAGATTATTGATATCATTTGAAAATCCAATTGCTATGACATGGGTCCCCAAGATAGTCTCATAGATGGTAAAAGATGAAGAAGCTACACATATTAAAGGCCAAGCTGACTCTTCTCAACCAAAAATAAGTAGCCTTTGCATAAAGAAATTGGAAGAAGGAATAGTACCTCCAGTCTTCCAGCTTGATGGTCTAGATGTTAAGCACTGGCTTCCCGTCCAGGCCTCGTTTTGACCCCCTGCTCCACCTGCAGCACCGTGTGGGGGAGAGGCTGTTCTCCAACAGCTGCTTTCTTCCTTCTCTTTACCTTGGATGCACCATCTCTGCCCAGATCCTCACCCACTTCCCAACTTTATCTTCCTGGGTGTAGCATCCTTGTCAGGCCTCCAAAAGCTTTTAGAATTTCCTTTTGTCACCACTGTTAGCCTTGTTCCCCATTCTAACCTTTCCACAGCGTACCCTCCTCAGGATCAGCTATTATCATTTCTTTCAACAGCTGGATCAGATGCCCCCCTCATAAGCACAAACAGCTGAGAGCCTGGCCTGGGCCAGAGCCCAGCTCTTTTTAGGCCAGGTATCCCTACCTGCTCTCCAGCTGCTGGAAAAGGCCCTTCTGTTTCTCAAAAGTCTGTTAAGTTTCTTGAGGTTAGTGCCTACATCCTGTTGCATGCACCCTTAGAAATAACGATTTAAATTTCTCACTCATTGCTGAGTGGTCCTGAAAAAGAAATGAAATGGCAGTATCTTATAATGGTTTTTCAGGTCCAGGAGAAGCTCTGTGGTTTCTCTGTTTACTTGCTGATAGAGGACGGGAATATGTAGTGTGGTGTGTGAAGGTGAAGTCAGTGATTATAGCTAACAAGCAGTGTTCATCATCCTTCCAAGTTCCTGGTATTTTTGGAAGGTAGAGTGCTGGTTTTGTTTCATACAGGAATTTTACCTCTGGTTATTTTAACGTCATAAGTTCTGGAAGATGCTTCCACGTTGCCTTAAAATCACCTTTTAGTGAAGTTCTAAAGTCTTACCCAAAATGACTGCTTTGTCATTTCTTATATCATTTTTTCCTCTCTGATGCCAAATGCCATCCAGACTTTCCGTGTTGGTGCGGTAAGCTAGAAAGTTTTAGTTTGTAGTAGCTGTTTTCTTTTGTGTTTGTATGTTTTCGTGCTTATAGTCATTTTTGTGATGTTTGTTTCTGAACATTTTCCTTGGGCGGACTGACCTTCCACTGAAGCGTCGTCTTCCCTGTCGTGTGGCCCTCCTTCTAAGGACCGGCTTTCCTTCCGCTGCAGGATCTGTCACTGTGAAGGGGATGACGAGAGCCCTCTGATTACGCCCTGCCACTGCACAGGGAGCCTCCACTTCGTGCACCAGACCTGCCTGCAGCAGTGGATCAAGAGCTCTGACACGCGCTGCTGTGAGCTGTGCAAGTACGAATTCATCATGGAGACCAAGCTGAAGCCGCTGAGAAAAGTACGTGCGCACTTGGGATTGGGTAGGCCACAGTTGACTTGTGTTCACTTCTTTCGGAAGTGGAGGCCAGTGTGTACATTCATGTTACTGTACCGATTTCCAAGTCCCTTCTCTCAAGAACAAGCTCTTTCTGACCGTTCAGTGACCATGTTTTCTTTTTCCTTGAAACTAAGACTGCTTGCTTGTCTGTTTCAGTCATTTGGCCCTTGACCACACACCGCTTTGTGATGTCTTAGTCAGCATTAGACTTTATATGTATTAACTATTCAGGCCTTGCCTCTAATTAGGACCACATTGTGGAGATTAGTGCCTCCCCTGCACGAAACACAGCCTAATGTAGTAAATTTATTTTTATACGCTTGTGACGAATATTTGCTAGATAGGAGGTGGGGGCAGATGGGAAAAGACAGGAACCACAGGCATTACATGAAACACAACTCTCGTCAGGTCTTGTATCCTTACTTTTTCTGAGAGGAGCCTCATCCGGCACTCCCCTCCTGTGTAAACACTGGCTGTTTTATGTGTCTTTGTACCTAGCATATGGAGAGGTTTTGTTTGGAAGAATAAAAGACTTGCTCTTATCTCAGAACTTTAGTACGTAAATTGCAGAGAGAATCACATAATCAAGTAATAGCACTTGATGTGCCAATAAAACGCTAACTTCCATGGGGACAGCACATATCAGATATTCAGAGAAGGAAGTGTTCATTGTGGATTGAAGTGCTGGGGAAGCAGAGTGAGGTGGCATCATAGAATGTTTGGTGTTGAAGCAGTTCTTGAAAGATCACTAGGATTTAGAGGGAAAGTGAAAGGAGTCTAGAAAGGTTGCATTGTCTCCAGAGGAAAGCACCCACCTAAAGGTAGGTGAGCCTTTCAGAGGAGGATGAAAGGCTAAAACTGAATGTATCTTAGAAACTCAGGGGAGTGTTTTAGGAGGGAAACCAGTTGAAGATACAGTATCACACCACAGAAGAAAGCAGTCTAGATGTTAGAGAAGGCAGGCCCAAGCTACTTAAAAAAAATGCTTTTCCCCATAAAAGCCTTATCATTTATCAGGTACCTTACTCTATACTGATCCCTCAAGCGAGGCTTATGGCACTGTGACCAATATAGGTAGTCCACGAGGCTCTACTTTCAGCTTATCCTACATAGAATCATCTGGAAAGGCTGTGACTAGCTAGGGCTGGCAGAGGATATGCAGTGTTCACACTTGTTCTTTTTCTCTACCTTTATGTGTTTTCTTCTGATTCGGAAACCGGTAAATGAAAAAGAAAATCTGGCTATTTGGAGTAAATTAATGAGCTCCTAGAGGAGATGGGACTGGGACAGACTGCTTGTACCAGGAACTCTTAGCATCGATTTCACGGTGTTGCTGCCAAAGTAGCAGAGGACCAAAGAGTGAGCGCCTCCCGCCATCACCTTCACGCCATAGGGCCACCCATCTGCTAGTGTGTTGTGGTGTCATCCGCCCCCCTTCTTCCCCTCACTCACGCCAGTCAGCAAGTCAGGGAAACAAAAACGTGCCACCTGGGTCTTGGCCCAACATGCTGTTTTCATCTGGACCAAAACCATAAAATCTTTTTATCAAGCCAGTGAATGCCTGCTTGCAGGAATAAGCAGCCAGGGGGATTGGATTGCTGGTGGTGATTCATAGCTCATCTCGATCCCGGCTTCTCTTCATTGCATAGAAAGTTGGCTGTCGACAGAATACCAGAGCCTGGTACCTGGTTGAAGCCACGTGGTTTAAAGGGAACGACTCAGTGTCTGGGGAAATTCATCTAGCTTGGGCGAGGGTAGTGGGGAGGGAAGCCGGGCTTGCCATCAGCAAAGCTCTCACCCCGTCGTAGCCCCTGAGGCCCGGGAGCCTGAGCCTCACATCTGTACTGTCTTTCCAGTGGGAGAAGCTGCAGATGACGTCCAGTGAGCGCAGGAAGATCATGTGCTCTGTGACCTTCCACGTCATCGCCATCACCTGTGTGGTCTGGTCCTTGTATGTGCTCATTGACCGCACCGCCGAGGAGATCAGGCAGGGTCAGGCAACAGGTACGTGGTCAGAATGAAAGGTGTGCCCAGCCAGGGTATCCTGAATGGCACAGTGGGTCTTAGGATTGGGGTATTACTCCAGGTTGATTTCTAAGTCCGACGTCCAATGTCTGGGCTTCTGGAGGGAGATATCAGTTATGATGCACCATACATCCTTTTTGGATGTTTCTTGTGCTGTGGTGGTAGTTTATATAACCCAGTCTGGGGATTTCCCTGGCAATCCAGTGGTTAAGACTTTGCCTTCCAATGTGGGGGCACAGGTTCGATCCCTGGTCAGGGAGCTAAGATCAGTCCCACATGCCTTGCAGCCAGGAAGCAAAATATAAAGTAGAAACAGTAGTGTAACAAATTCAATAAAAAGACTTTAAAAATGGTTCATATTTAAAAAAAAAAAAACAACTTAAAAAAAAAAAAAAAACCCAGCCAGGAGAGATCAAATCATGGAGAGAGAGAATTTCCACGAATGCCCCTTGGAAGCACAGGATGAAAGGGCATGGACGAGCTCTTCCATGCCTTCTCCAACAAAACTGGATTTGAAGAGTTAAGAATCTGTGGCTGTGACAGGTTCAGAAACGGTGTTTTATTTACTTCACGTCTTGAATAAGGTCTACTGATAGGCTAACTGGGTTTTTTCCCTTCCAGGAATTCTAGAGTGGCCCTTTTGGACTAAGTTGGTGGTTGTGGCCATTGGCTTTACTGGTGGACTTCTTTTCATGTACGTTCAGTGCAAAGTGTACGTACAGTTATGGAGGAGACTCAAGGCTTATAACAGAGTAATCTATGTCCAAAACTGTCCAGAAACAAGCAAAAGGAATATTTTTGAAAAATCTGCACTAACAGAGCCCAGCTTTGAAAATAAAGATGGACGTGGAGTCTGTCATTCCGATACAAACTCTTCTTGTTGCACAGAACCTGAAGACACTGGAGCGGAGATCATTCACGTCTGATGGCGCGGAGGTTGTGTTCTCTTGGACCGCTGAGAACAGCCGAAGGAAATTGTTTACTGCCAATTGTATACATTTTCTTATGTCCGTGAATAGCATAGACTGGGCAGGTGACTCTTTTTAATGGCTTCTCTGTTTTCTAAACCCTCCTTAGTGACTCTCCTGGAAAACCCTCACGTCAGCTGTGCCCAGCTGGGTTCTGCTTCTGCCAGCAAGTCTACAGGAAGGGAGGGTGGACGAGCCTGTGACACCACGATGGGGTGCTGGCTGGGTTCTGGCTCGTAGTCTTGCGCAGAATGAGAGAGCAAGATGCCAAACCTGAGGGAAGAAGAGGAGCAGGTGGTGCCTGGGCCCTGCCGCGCCTCTTCTGGTGGGCAGGTCCCCGCTTCCTGCCCGCTCGGTGAACTGCTGGGAGGGACCAGCCTTGGGGAGAGGCTTCTCCACCACTAGTCAGGGTCCAGGGAGGCTGCCACTGACAGTTCCCGAGCAGACGGGCCGTGGTGCTCTGTGCGTGGTGGTGAGTGATTCACTAAGCAAAGCAAAGCACTTTACAAAAAGAGAATCTTTATTTTGTAATACGTGTGTCACGTGGGGTTGACATTTGAAAGAACGTCTCATTTAGAAACCTTCCTTTCATGACCCTGATTATCTCCTTCACATTATAATAGATCTGAAACCCTTTTTGCCTTATATATGCTAAGAAATGTGACTTCCACTCTGTGTCCATAAAAGGGACTTGTAAAGCAGAACAAACAGGTTGGAGGCATTTTTCATAACATTTTGTGGGGATGAATGGATGGTAAGTGGCAGTTCGAGCATAATTCCTGTGGTTTTGAGCCTGTTTTATGACAAGTCTTCATGTCATCGGGCTGCCCTAAACGTTTCTTTTTTTGTCAGTCCTGAAGAAGAAGGGTTCATGAGATCCAAATGAAAGGAAGTGAGGCATCAGAACAAAATGGAATATTTAAAAACTATTCCTTTACAGACAGACCTCTCCAGTTTGTGCTGACTTCACACTGAAGGAGTAGGAGTGTATCGCCCAGCTGGGGTACACGCTGAAGGTGCTCTCAGGGGCCCCTGCTCCTGGCACCTTCTGTGGGTCGCTGCCCAGAGCAGAGAGGCAGATGGGCTGTCTCTGGGCTGAGGGCCAGGAGTGAGCAGCAGACTGCCACGGTCCACCGTGTCCCTGCTCCCAGCCACACCCCTGCCCATTGGTCGCCTTAACTGGACTGAACCCCTGGCCCTGCTTTCAGTCCATTCTGTCATCAGGGATTATCTCCTGTACCACTTTTTCATAAAACCAAAATTACTACCATCAAATGGCCTTTGTACCTTTAAGAGGGTCTGCTTAAAATTCTATTTTTAAAGACCGATTTCATCATACCAGGCAAAAGAGAGTCAACTCCAGAAAAATAGCCCAGGGAGTTCTGCAGTGTGAGATGAGTGTGCCTAGGCACTTACTCTCCAGGTAGCTCTCTGGATGTCTTGGGTGGGTGGCCCTGGGGTCCTGCCCCCCATCCTCTGAGCCTCAGGTGTTTCATCCAACCTGTTAGAGTAGGAAGCAAACAGAAGATGATTCCTTTGCATTTCAGCGTGGAAGCTCTATGGTTTGTTTTGAAAGCCAGGAGGTTCTTAAGCCCTTGGGGGAGGGCTTTGCCCTGCCATGGCTTCTCTGGCCTGGCAGGTGCTATCCAGCCATAGCCCACCCCCTGGAAATAGGTCAGCTCGTCCTCTCCATCTCCCAGGCCACATCCAGCGCGTGCCTGAGCTCACTGTGCCCCAAAGTGCAATTACCTACGCCCCTTCCCAGCCTGGGGACACCAAATAGCTACAGACGGTCTGCTCAGGAGAGCCACATCCCAGGTCTGCCTTGCCGGTGCCCTTTAGGAACTGCCAGGGCAAGGCCCCTTGTCCCTCTTGACGGCAGGTGAGTCGTCAGGGGATACTGAGAGAGATTTCTAAGTGGGCACCATTCCCCTTCTCCCCAGTGGCGCTCCTTGTGCTGTCCCTGAAAAGCACTGAAACTTCTGATAGAGAGGAGAGTGTGCTCAGGTGGGGATGGCCCCGGGACAGCCCAGCCAGTGTGGCTGGTGCCCCACCTGTGGCAGAGGTGACTTCATAACCAGCCCTGTTGTGTTGCTCCCATGGCCCACCCAAGCTCTCACGGGAAGCTCTCTCACACCATCTCATCACCTCCAGCCAAGCTCCTAAAAGCCTCTGCCTGTGGATGGTCCGCCTCGTGTCCTTTTCTTTCCTGGGATGGCACACACACAGCTATCCCATTGCCTTCTGTCCTCGCGTGTTCTGCTGACCACCTCTGACCCCCAACTTAGTCCCAGCACTAACCCCCCGCCCCCCAGCCGCAGGGACTGAGTGAACTTGCGAGGCCCTGGTGAAGTGGCGCTGTGCTGCCGCTGAGTGGGGGCTTTGGATCTGCCAGGCATTCCTTTAGTCTGTCAGCTGGCCTTCTAGGTTCCTGGAAGAGTTAATTATTCCCCATTTCCTCATCGTTTTGCACCTGACTGAACAAATTACAGAAATGTGGGGTGAGCTTGCAGGTCTCAGGGCCTGGAGGCTGGTATCTGAAGGCCAGGCGAAGGGGAGAGGGAAGCAGCCTGGGGTGTCGCCAGCCAACCATCTCTGACTCGGCCTCTGCTTCCCCTCAACCTGTAGTTCCACTGAAGCACTTTTGTGCCTGAGTTTAAAATTTTGCTGAAAATTATAAAAGATCTCTTCACCCTCCAGACCTGTACTGTCTCTTGCCTTTTTTTTTTTTGCTTCGGTCCACTCTTTTCAACCTTACGGGTCCAGTTTCAAATCCTGCAGGTGTCCCCTAACCTGGCTACAGACAGACAGACAGGCCCCGGGCAGTTGGGGGGGTTCAAAAGCCTTGTGTAGAGCTGCCCCCCTGACTGGTGGTCGGCCCTGGAGCCAGAGGAGGATAGGGCACACAGGATAAAGATCCACGATGGTGTGGATTTGGCCTGACGCAAACCACTTTTGAGATACTTTCCCTCTTGGATCTGATTTGAAGTTTGCAGCTTCTATCTCTAGCCCAAGGAAAGACTGAAACATAGGGAAACAAAAACATTTGTCTTTGTTTTGACAGTAATGAAATTGTGCAACTCACCACCTATTTAGATGCAATGTTTATAGGATGTTGATTGTTAATAAAGACCAAATTTACACTGGCATGTGTGGTGTAGTTTCTAACAGGCACTTCATACTTGAAGTTTTTCCTCAACTTAGAAGCTTTCTAGTTATCTAAATGTCTAGTTTTGTATCATTTTGTGTATGTTCACTGTTTCTCAGTATTACTGCTTGAATAATTCTCTGTATGGGTGGGGGGGTGTTTGTACTATACACGGAGTGTCTAATTGCAGCAATAAAGCATTTCTTTAAAAAGGAGCTTTGCCATGCAAGTGTTTTCCTGCCAGGAAGCTGGGAATATTGGCAGCCCCTCCAGTGGTCTGATCCCCTTTCCTCTGGCTTCTGTATCAGAGAAGATCATGCAGCCTTGGTCTGTCCCTGTAAGGGAGGCTGGATCCCCCAGACGCTGGTTGTCAGTGGGGAAGACTGGATTCTGGAGAGTGGGTGAGCATGGGAGTGAAAGCTGAAGTCATTCTCACAAGTGTGCTTGTTCCAAATATCTGGATCCTACTTGGACTCACTGCGCTGAGGAAAGCCAGAGTCGAGTTGAGGGTGTGTATGGCACCATGACCACTGGAGCAGTCCATGGCTTAACTAGCCTCATTTTTGTTAAATCATTGACTGATACAGTCCAGCAGAGTGAGGAAGTGCGGCAGGGCTGGCAGGATTGCCGGTGATAGCTGAGCCTAGCTGTACTTCCTGGCTCCTGGTGAAAGGTTGTTGCTGAATCACAAAAGACGCTGGGATTCTTGGCCTCTGGAGGAGAAGAATTCAATCTGGGGCCAGAGACGAGGCTTGATCGCTCAGAGATTTTGTGTAGTAAAGTTTTATTAAAGTATAAAAGAGATAGAGAAAGCTTCTGACATAGACATCAGAAGGGGGCAGAAGGAATACCCCCCTGCTAGTCTTTAGCTGGATGTTATACAGCTTCTATCAGTCTGCCAATTAAAGAAAGGAAATGTCTCAGAACTCAGGGAACGGCACCAGGTGAGTCATCCAGGGCCATAGAATGATTGACATGAACCTTGAAGAAAGGCAGATTACCGAACAAATAGTTTCATTAACATAGATTAGGAGAACACTGTATGAGTGTAATCTACTGGTTTGTCAAATTAGTTCTGAGCCTTTAGGTGGAACCGACTTGAAGACAGAGTTGGGGGTAAATGCATAGTACATGAACGTAGCTTAAACATTTCCATTAAAATGCATTGGTTAGCTCAGTTTGAGCAAAGTTAAGTTAGGGTGGAGCCAGGTGTCGTTATGGCAACACAGAGTTTTAAGAGAAACCGCTTTTTAAATTTGTCTAGAGAAGGGGAAAAAATATGACACTAATTTGTTTCCTCCTGCCTTAAGAGAGAAAACGTGTCTGACACTTGCAGCCTATTTCCTCTGTTTGGAGACCCCTGGCCTTCCTGCCTGTTACCCTCTCACTGGTGGGGCTTCCCCGAATAATGCCCATGTGGTTGATCCTCCAGTCTTGGGACTGCAAACCACTCCTGGGGCTGGGAGTGCTGAGGGTGGGTGCCTGGCTTCACCTGTGCTCAGGAGATGAAATGAGGGAGGCCAAAGTTGCCCCAACATACTGTGTGGGTGAGCCGGGAGAATTGGCCCCCAAGTTCAGGGCACCAGGAGACTGGGGAGCTACGCAGGGGGATGCTTTGCTAGTGTCCTTCTTGCCTGACTTGGGAGAACTGAGTCCCGGGAACTGAGCGCCGCTGTGGAAGCTCCTAGAGGAGGGGATGGCCGCAGAACAGCTGAACCTGCTCAGGAGTGTGCTTGCAGGAGGGACAGAGACTAGTGCCCTCCTGGGCTCACTTGCTGTCAACTGTTGGTTGGAGGGAATGTTGGGAGCCTGGAGCTGGAAGAGAAATCTTCCGTAAGAATGTGAGGAGGGGCCTTCCCGTGAGGGGCTTCGATTTTTGGGAGACCCGATGAATTTTAGTAAGTTTGGCTGAAGAGACACCGAATAAGGTCTTGTTGCAGCGAAGCTTTGAAACAATGCCACCCCCAAGCCTCTTCGCCTTTGGATGTGAGCCACAGAATGATGGGTTAAGGCACACTGCTAGGGGAACTTACAGTCCTCTAGGTCAGGGGGTGGCCACTGGTGCTCGCAGACCAGCCTCCTGTTTGGTAAATACACTTACAGGCACACAGCCTTGTCCCTTCATGGATGTGCTGTGTTCAGCTTATTTCCTGCTACACTGGCAGATCCTGTGTCCTGGAAAGCCTACAATATTTACATGCCCCTTTATAGAAAAAGTTTGCCAACCCTTGGTCTGTGTGATCGGTGCCCCTGGAGTTGCTGCTGCACAGCCCACGTGGTGACAGAGGTGTAGACGGCCCTCTTCTAGGGCCTGTCCTTTCTCCCGGCCTCAGAGGTGCCCCAGTGACCAGTTGTCCTGCTATGCATCTCTGTCGCTGGTTCTGGATAGAGCTGAGGTTAGTTCAGGAGTAAAAGGAAGAAGGGATGAGCCTGCTGTCCTGAGCTGAGAGCTTCCCTCGGCCCTTCATCTGTCAGAGAAGCCTTGTCTGGCCTGCCTTGCCTGCCTTGCCTGCCTCCCTGCTTCTGGGAGCTGAAATGAGAGAAGCAGAGTCCAGGCTCTGTGGTGGCATCGCAGGGTCCCCTCTGCATGAAGTAGGTGTCTGGAGGTCCAGTGGTCCAGGGAGCCGAACTGGGCTCCACTTTGGTCCCTTTGTCCAGCTTCCACCCTTTCATTCAAGACACACAGAGCCAGAGTCTTGGCAGAGGGGAGCTGGCCTCACTGTGTTGCCTGGCACCACTGTGGGGGCACCAGGGGTTAGATGGGGAAAAGACAACATAACATAGGTTGCTGCGAGAAAGAGTAGTCTGTTACCCTCATTCTCCCACTTTTCTGTTGTTAAATGCCCTGTTACAGAATAGTGATGAGAGTAGATGGTAGCTCTTGGTGGGGGTGATTTTTTTAAATTTATTTTTTAATTGAAGGATAATTGCTCTACAGAATTGTGTTGGTTTCTGCCAAACATCAACATGAATCAGCCATTGGTATAGTTTGTCCCTTCCTTCTTGAACCTCCCTCTGGTGGGGGTAATTTTGTGGATTGGGTGGTTCTTAGCAACAAAAACTTGGTAACAATGTCCCTCCTGATTTTTCCTGCAAAACTTTTGGTCCATAAAATCTAGTCACCTGAGAGCCCTGGTCCTGGGGCTCCTTCCACAGACATAGGAGGTGTCCTGAAGGAAGTGTGTTCTAAAGAAGCGTAGGAACTTTCTGGGCAAAGAAGAGAGAAAAGTACCTTTTCTCCAAATGGAACGGGGGCAGCTTTTGCCTAGATGGGATCACAAAGATTATGGCTATTTTGTGTGGGGAGGGGATGTGAGCTATTTGGGGTGATTGGAACATAGCATGTTGGAGACTTGATTTGAACCAACTCCTTTATTTTTATAACAACCAGTTCTTAATTCATTCAACAAGAATTTATCTGGGTACCTACTGTATGCAAGAGATGGGACTAAGCATAAATAGAACAGAAAATCATCTTCCCATTTCTCAGCAAGAACATCCATCACTTGTGCTGCTCTTCTGGACTGCCTCCCATGAAGTGCTGAGCTGGGTGAAAGGGCTGGAAGGGGCACAGTCCTGTTCTGTGTAGGAAAGGTCCCTGCAGTCTTTAAATACTCTGATCAAAGTGTGGCATTTGCTAAAGACTGAGGAACAAACAGGAAAATGCTCCAAAGCTGAGCTACATTGTGGTCCAATCTGGGGAGTGTTTGGTTTGAACCCAGGAGCCTGGGTCCCACAGGCCACTTCCCAGGAATCCGAAGGCCCACCCCTTGGCGGCCCCAGGAGCCCGCCCAGCCCGGCAGGCTGCAGTCTGGGAGCCTAGCCCAGCCTTGAGCAGCTGGGCGTCCTGCAATGAGACAGGCTCAGGCGGCTACTCAGATGGCCACGCTATTGGGAATCCGGTCTGGGGACAAGTAGTAATAAGGCAGCTTCTTATTCTTGTTGCGCTCGGCGATCACGCTGACGATGGAGTCGAGGTTCTTACGGAACCGAGCCATGGCCTCCTTTACCGGCTTCTCGATGAAATGCTCCTCCGGGTACATGCCCAGGAACAGCTGAGACCCAGACAGACAGAGACAAGTTAACCTGTGATGAAGCGATGTAAACCGACAGGACTCGTCCTGTCCCCAGAGCCCAGCCTCTGGGAGTCAGTTCCTGTGCTCATCACTGCTCCCCGCATCTCCGCCCCCTGCCACCTGCTGACAGCACCCGAGGCTGGGGCCTCACAGATCAATGCCCCGCTGCAGGGAGGCTATAAGGACCGGTAATGGCTCAGGCAGATGTGGATGGAGGCTGGCGTGGTCCTGGCTGTGGTGGACACGTGGCCCAGTCCCCAGGCGCACTCCTGCCTGGTGTCGAGGCCACAGGGGCACAGGGCCAGTCTGGCCTTCTCTCCAGCCCAGGTCAGCCACAGCCAGGCTCTGCTGGGGTGGTGTGCCCATTTGCACACTCACACAAATGTCTGCAAATTGGAACTAGGTGTATCTTTTAGAAACAAGATCCGAGAATGTTAAAATTGAAAAGTTTCATAGCCAGGGCTGGGCAGGATGGGAGAAGTGTTCTGCACTGTTGACGGGATGTTGGATTCAGTTTGTGGAGGGCCAGTCTCAGCATTCTTTGAACAAGAAATTCTGCTACAAGGAATGTACTGGTTCTGTTGAACACACGTGCTGAGACCTATATGTGAAGATGTTAGGGACCAAGACAAAGGTCCCAAAGCAACACACTGCCAACAAATGCTGGTGGGTCTGGGGCCAGTTCAACTGACCATTCTTAGCAGCACTGAGCTAACACCAGGGGGTGGTGTCTGAGAGCCGGCTTTGGGGCTTTGGAATTAGGTTCAACAAATTGTATGAGTATGGGAATGTCTCAAAAGATACCAAGGAAACTCACCTCTCACCTGTGGGGTGCCAGGGAGGAATTCACATGGAAGAGCTTTACCAACAGTGAGGACGGGTAGGGTGTGCCCTTGTGGGGAGTGTCACGGTGGAGCAGTGACCCCTGCTCTCCTGCCCCACCCCACTCTGAGCTCCATGCAGGCTCTGGCCTAAGGACCTCACAGGTCCCTCCAGCCTTGCAAGTCAGGATTCCTGGCCGGCAGGGGTACAGCCTGAGCCCTGAATCACAAAACCCTGGGACTGAGGAAGGGGTTAAACCCAGTCTCACCTCATTGTCCTGGAACTGGCTCAGTGCCCACACTGCGCCCAGATGCCAGCAGGAGCGGCCACGGTCGGGCAGCGTGTCTACGATCTGCTCGATGGTGACCACACCCTTGGCCGTCGGTGGTGGGGCTCGCATGGTCGGGGGGGCGTTGGGGATCCAGGAGCACCAGTCATACTGCAGGGACAGCCACCGACCCGGCTGGGTGCCCCTGCAGTGCAGCCCTCAACCACCTCTGCCTCCCGTGCCACCTCCCTGAGCCCCTTCCTCCAACTCCAGCGGGGCTAGGGAAGCCCCCGCCCTCATACTGGCGTCCAGTGCTTAGCACAGAGCCGAACTCCACTGGCCAGCAGGAACACCAGACTCCTGGCCCCTCCGCCCCTCCGCCCCCGCTCCTGTTGAGGAAGTGGGGTGGCCCACCCAGGGCTCTCAGAGGCAGGTGAGCTGGCCCTGGCCATTTCCCGCCCAGAGGGCTTGTCCTGTCCTTGCCCACCTGGCCGAAGTTCACCGCCGCATGCTGGGCTGAGGCTGTGAAGATCACCACGGTCAGGTACTCACACAGCTTCTCCTTGGTCTTGATGCACTTGGGGAAGCCTAAGGGAGAGCCCTGGGCTGGCTGAGGCCCCAACCCCAGGGAAGGCCACCGACCAGCAGACACCCACTCCCACGCATACAGGTCCCGGGTGCCCACACACCAGTGTTGGGAGGGCCCGGGCATGAGCCAGATGCACTGGAAGAGCACGGTTGCTTTGCCCAGTGTTCCTGTTGCTTCTGCCCTGGCTCTTGGAAAGCCCCTGAGATATCCCCGTGGGGTACACTGAAGGGCAGGGGTCCCCTGGGAGCCGTGGGCTCAGCCCCAGGTGCGAAGATGGAGGCCAACAGCCAGCGTCACCTAAAGCAATTGAGTGGTACAGGGGAGAGGGAGAGGGCTGCGGGGTGGAGAGCGGTCCCCACCTGAGGCCTTCTTGCCCCGCATGCCGTACATATAAACATCCTTCACAAAGTCCTGTAGCTCCTGGTCCTCCTCCACCACCTGGTCGCTCTTGTAGTAGATGTCCACCACCTCTGCTATGAACCTGGCTCAGGAGGAGAGGCCCAGCCAAGAGTGGGTGACCAGCCAGGGTCTGCAGAACTGGCCCCTTGGCCCCATCCATGACCCCGTCACTTCTTGATGTCTGAATTCAGGTCACCCTCTCCCCCACCCCCATCCAACCTGCCATAGCCCCGTTCCCCCATCACTGCCCTGACAATGAGCCAGGCCTCTTGGCCCACTGAGTCAGCGGGCCAGCACCCCTGGTCATGACAATCAGAGCTCCGCCCACTCCTCCTGCAGGCCCTCAGCTCCCGCTGCCCAGAGCTGACCCCCCAGCCCTGTAGCTCACGTCTTGATGGCCTCCCACACCAGGAGCCCGTCGTCCCGGTAGAAGTAGTAGGGAATGTCTTCCGTGTTGTCCATGCCCCTGGCCTTGATGGCCTCAGGGAAGCACAGGGAAGTGTAGGTCAGGTCCTGCATGGCCCTCTGCACCATCTGCACATGCCCACCGCCCCCGGTAGCATTGGCCTTGAGCAGGAGGGGAGGAAGTGCTGTGAGCCAAGGCTGGTTCCTCCAGGGCCAGAGCTCAGCATGAGAAACTGTGAAAGGGCAGGGAGATGCCCAGGCCCACCAGAGCAAGCCCATGTCCAGTGAGGTGGAGTGGGAGGGACATTTAACTCAGAGCATGCCCAGGTCAGCCCCAAGAGGAGGTTATGGGGAGGAGCCTTGTCCTGATCCAAATATGAGGGGCTGAGATGCAGGAGGGAGGGGTGAGCTCCCCACCCAAGTGGTGCAGTTGAGGACAGAAGGCAGTGTGGAATTCAGGCCAGAGCAACCCCTGGACCAGACCTGCCCTTGTTCTGAGCACAGGTTCTGAGCTGCCCGGAGCCACGCATTGCTCTCAGAGACCTGATCTTTGAGCATAAGACCAGGGGCATACACTGGACCCCAGGACACACACCACTCTGCTGAGGGCCTCTTGTGTGCCTAGTGAGGGCTGCTGGTCATCATCCCAGCTGCAGAGATGCTGGTACACATGCTTGCAGGCAGGCACACACGTGGCTGAGTTCTCAGGGCACAGAATCTTCCAAGGAGAACTTGGGGGCTGGGTCCAGACACTGGTCCACGGTGGGTGTTTGACCCAAGCAGAACCAGCAGAGTTGCTCCCTGGTACTTTCTATTTGCATGGAAGATGATGTCACTGTGTGGGAATGTAAGCTTGGAGCTCACTGTGATGTCCCCCTCCCACTGGGGGAAGCCTGTCTGCAGAGCCCTTCTTGGAGAGTGAGGCCCACACAGTTTAAAGAGAGGAAGAGTGCCAGCCAATGGCCTTGTACCCTGGGGACACTGAGTCCCAGGCCGTGTATGAGGCATCCTAGGGGGCAGGGGTCGCCTGGGGGGCTTTGGGCCCGGCACCAGGTGCTGAGGTGGAGGCCACGGGCCAGCGTTGCCCAAGGGAACATGGAGCGAGGAGCTGAAGCTCCCGAACGTGTCCCGGTGTGTGAGATGACACGGTCCCATTCCAGCTGTAGCTGGCCTGAGATGAGTTTTGTCATTTTCCGCCCAAATGGTGACTCAACCCTTGGGATGGTCTGGCTGGCTTACTAACTGGAGGTGAGGTTGGGGGTGAGGCTGTGGGAGGGTCCAGTAAGCCTCCAGAGGGGTCACAGCAAGGGATACTGCCTGAAAGGGCATGATGGGTGGATAGGGACCCAAGGCCCCACTGAAGGGGAGAGTGGGTTGGGAGTGCCGACGCCTGGAAGGGAGGAAGGGTGGGAGGCTGTGTTCCAAGCGATGGGCGGCAGAGTGGGTGGGGCGGTGCAGGAAATTAGTGTGGGCCGCAGGGCAGGCAGGCAGGGTATACACCCACATGCCAGGGGGAGGGGAGGGGAGGGATGGGGGAAGGTGACCAAGTGAGGAGGAAGAGAGGATGGATGGAAGGGGTGGACCATGGCCAGAGAACATGGGAGACTTCACTCGGAGTGCACCCAGCCTCCCACCCTTCCCAGGCCTTCACCCAGGTGGTGCCTAGGGGGCTAGTTTCTGGAGAGGAAGTCTGGGCCTCAGATCAGGTGGGGGCCGCTGAGATTCTTCCAGCCCTGGGGTGGGCCCTCACCTTGTCAAAGAGGCCGTACTCGCAGATGAGCTGCTCCCGGGCCTTGGTGTTGATGGCGATGGTGAACCGCACGTGTGCCACCAGGAGCTGGTGCAGCGACAGGGGCAGACCTCAGAGGTGGCCAGGGCAGGGGCTCCCGACCCGGTCTGCGCCTCCTTGGGGTCCCCAGGTCCCCCAGCCCCACCCTACCCCAGTGCACTGTGGAGGAGCGATGCCAGGGCTCACGGAGGAAGTGAAGCTGGTGTGTCGACCTGCACTGCTGAGAGCTGCTGGCATGGCAGCCTGGGGACTGCCGCTCTGATGCTCAGCAAGAATGATCATGATGAAATGACCATCATCAACGCTTGCACAGAGCACAACTGTGAGCTGGGCACTCTTTGAAATTCTCCGAATTTGTCCACTATGTCAACCCTGACAGTGATCCTAGAGGGCAGGGGTACTATCTGATCTCGGTGTTACAGATGGGGAAATGGAGGTAATTTAAGCCTGCAGTCGCTCCAGCAGTCAGTGTCCCCAGGATGCAGGAGACAGAAGGGCAGTGAATGTGGGGCTGCCCCCTGGGATCAGACAGAGCAGCACTGAACTCATTCGTCTCTTCAGACTCTGCTGCCTCTCCCAAGGCTAGCCAGAGCCAGGGCAGGCCCAGGTACCAGCCCCCGTCCCATGTCCTCAGGACCCAGCAGGCTCTGAGCTGCTTTCTTCCTGGGGGTGCCTCCCCCCTTTCCCCAGCCTCTCCAGGGCTCTCCTACAGCCTCTCCCAGCCTCAGGCCTGTGGGGATGTCGGGGCCCCTCCTCCCTTCCTTCTGTCCTCTACCCCCATATCTGATACCTCTCCCCCCAGGGTGAGGCAGGAGCTTGCTGTACCTTGAAAATGGGGTGCACGGCAGGCAGCTGGCGGTACATGGCGATGCCAAACACCTCAGACACCAGATGTGTGCGCAGAAGGTGGGTGATGGTCTGGTGAACATGGAAGTCACTGGAGCGCACCCAGATCTTGGCCAGGAGCCAGTCATACTTTGCATCCGAAGGGAGAAAAATGGGATTCTCTTCTCCCGGCACCTGGTTGAGCTGATACGTTGGAGAAAGAGAAGGCATTGCAATATTTCGCTCCAGATTGTAACCGTAGGAGAGTCTGGCCTCTCAGGAAATCCCAGGAGAATCCAGATTTCTTAAACAGAGACTTTGACTCATGAGAGAATCACGAAGGAGGGTAGAGGCCCAGGGTTTGTAACAATTTCTCCTCCCAGCTACATCATTTACTACCTGTGGGACCCTGGACAACTTAGCCTTTATGAACTCCACCTTCACTGTCGTTAACAAGGGGACAGGGTCTATTCGCCTGGCAGTTACTAGGGGAAGTGAATGAAAGGGTGTGAAGGCGACAACACGGGGTGAATGCTGTGGTGTGAGAGGGTGTGGGCAGTGGTCTTCCACCCGCTCCCCATCTCTGCCTCTCCCTCCTGGTCCCACCCACTTCTCTGCAGCTGCTTTCTGGTCTCCTGAGTTTTCCTTCCTCGGCTCTCCCAGCCTCTGTCTGGGTGCTTCTGAATCCCCTTCTTGCCCTTGATTGATTAGAGGTGGGGGGCGGGGGAGGGGGACACAAACTCTGGAGCCAGATGACCTGGCCCCCATCTCAGTTCTGCCGCTGTGTGCCCTGGTGCCTCGGTTCCCTTATCTGCTTAAAATGATCAGCAGATGGAGTGCTTACCTACTCAGAGGGTTGTAGTGATAATTATGTAAATGCAGGTTTTCTGGTCTGACCCTGATGGCCAAATGTTTCAGAATCCAGGATTTTTAGGATTTTTAGCAACGTGTACACATCATTATGTGACGCCTGTCTTCCTCTCCTTGTGTTTGCACCAACACAATATTTTACACTCAATCATGCTAATATTTCTGCATGAAACACACCTTTCACACTGATTGGGAGAAAGCCTCTTAAGTATTCCCTTCTATCAGGAAGATCCCCTGGAGGAGGAAATGGCAGCCACTCCAGTATTCTTGCCTCGAAAACCCCATGGACAGAGGAGCTTGGTGGGCTAGTCCGTAGAATTGCAAAGGTTCAGACATGACTGAGGGATGGAGTGTGCATGCACATTGGTTCAGAGCAAGCTTTGCTGCCAATGAATCTGCTACAAATTTTTTGAGAATTGAAGAGCTTTAGATTTCAGAATTGAGAGTAAGGGATTGTGGACTGTGTGGGCAAACCCTTGGGATAATCTTGGCATGCGGTTAACATCTGGCAGAACTAGCTGCTCATACCCATGGCGCCCACTGCCGGGTTCATGACTGACTCAGGGTGCTGTTTGCTGAGTGCCTGTCTGCCTTCCCCCTGGGGGTCCTGTGAAGCCTCGCTCCTTCACAGACCCACGCCAGGTCCTGACCTCGGCGCGGTTTCCTGCTGCTGGTGTAACGTCTCCCACAGTGTTGCCGTGGCGTGACACCCTGAGAAAGCAGATGCAGCCAGGAACGGGGAGACAGGAAGCTCTGGCCCTGCCTGTCCCTCCTCCAAACTGCACCCCTCTCCTCCTCCATCATCCTCGGTGGAGATAAGAACCCGGGAGCATCTTGGGACTGCAATGGCTCCTGACCTCCATGGTCCTCCCTCGGCAACCTCAGCTTCCAGCTCATATCACAGCTTCACTTGCTCAGGCCCTACTGGGTTTTTTTTTTTTTTTTTTTAATTAATTAATTTTTTATTGAAGGATAATTGCTTTACAGAATTTTGCTGTTTTCTGTCAAACCTCAATGTGAATCAGCCATAGGTATACATGTATCTCCTTCCTTTTGATCCTCCCTCCTATCTCCCTCCCCATCCCACCCCTCTAGGTTGATGCAGAGCCCCTGTGTGAGTTTCCTGAGCCTTAGAGCAAATTCCTGTTGGCTATGTATTTTCCATACGGTAGTGTAAGTTTCCATGTTACGCTCTCCATACATCTCACCGTCTCCTCCCCTCTCCCCGTGTCCATAAGTCTATTCTCTATGTCTGTTTCTTCACTGCTGCCCTGTAATTAAATTCTTCAGTACCACTTTTCTAGATTCCGTATAAGTGTTAGAATATGGTATTTATCTTTCTCTTTCTGACTCATTTCACTCTGTATAATAGGTTCTAGGTTCATCCACCTCATTAGAACTGATTCAAATGCGTTCCTTTTTATGGCTGAGTAATATTCCATTGTGTATGTATACCACAACTTCTTCATCCATTCATCTGTCGTTGGACATCTAGGTTGCTTCCATATTCGAACTATTGTAAATAGTGCTGCAATGAACAATGGGATACTTGTGTCTCTTTCAATTTTGGTTTCCTCAGGGTATATGCCTAGGAGTGGGATTGCTGGGTCATATGGTGGTTTTATTCCTAGTTTTTTAAGGAATCTCCATACCATCTTCCATAGTGGCTGTATCAATTTACATTCCCACCAACAGTGCAAGATCATTCCCTTTTCTCTACACCCTTTCCAGCATTTATTGTTTGTAGTCTTTTTGATGAGGGCCATTCTGACCAGTGTGAGGTGATATCTCATAGTTTTGATTTGCATTTCTCTAATAATGAGCAATGTTGAGCATCTTTTCATGTGTTTATTAGGCATCTGTGTGTCTTCTTTGGAGAAATGTTTGTTTAGGTCTTTTCCCCACTTTTTGATTGGGTTGTTTGTTTTTCTGGTATTGAGTTGTATGAGCTGCTTGTATATGTTGGAAATTAATCTTTGTCAGTTGTTTCATTTGCTATTATTTTCTCCCATTCTGAGGGTTGTCTTTTCACCTTGCTTATAGTTTCCTTTGCTGTGCAAAAGCTTTTAAGTTTAATCAGGTCCCACTTGTTTACTTTTGTTTTTATTTCCATTACTCTAGGAGGTGGGTCATAGAGGATCTTGCTTTGATTTATGTCATCGAGTGTTCTGCCTATGTTTTCCTCTAAGAGTTTTATAGTTTCTGGTCTTACATTTAGGTCTTTAATCCATTTTGAGTTTATCTTTGTGTATGGTGTTAGGAAGTGTTCTAATTTCATTCTTTTACATGTAGCTGTCCAGTTTTCCCAGCACCATTTATTGAAGAGGCTATCTTTGCCCCATTGTATATTCTTGCCTCCTTTGTCAAAAATAAGGTACCCATAGGTGCATGGGTTTATTTCTGGGCTTTCTATCTTGTTCCATTGGTCTGTATTTCTGTTTTTGTGCCAGTACCATACTGTCTTGATGAGTGTAGCTTTGTAGTATAATCTGAAGTCAGGAAGGCTGATTCATCCAGCTCCACTCTTCTTTCTCAAGACTGCTTTCACTATTCAGGGTCTTTTGTGTTTCCATATGAATTGTGAAATTTTTTGTTCTAGTTCTGTGAAAAATGCCATTGGTAATTTGATAGAGATTGCATTAAATCTGTAGATTGCTTTTGGTAGTATAGTCATTTTCACAATATTGATTCTTCCTACCCAGGAACGTGGAATATCTTTCCATCTGTTTATGTCATCTTTGATTTTTTTCATTAGTGTCTTATAATTTTCTGTGTACAGTTCTTTTGTCTCCTTAGGTAAGTTTGTTCCTAGATATTTAATTCTTTTTCTTGCAGTGGTGAATGGGATTGATTCCTTAATTGTTCTTTCTGATTTTTCATTGTTAGTATGTAGAAATGCAAGTGATTTCTGTGTATTGATTTTGTATCCTGCAACTCTGCTAAATTCACTGATTAGCTCTAGTAGCTTCCTGATACTATCTTTAGGGTTTTCTATGTCCTACTGGTGTTTTGATTTGGGGCTGGTCAGAATGCTGTGGTGGGGAGCCCATACCATCCCAGGGAAGGTCCTCCCCAAAGCCAGCAAGTGTCCAAGGGTATCTTGTGGAGTGGAGCCCTTTCTGCCTGCTATGGTCAGCCCTCCCCACGACTGGCAGGAAACCCTATGTTCTTGTTTGTCTTGTCCACCTGGCAGAGCCTTAAGCAGGAGATTCCAGGCAGGGCTGCTGCTTTTCCCTCCTGGAGGTTTGTTGGATCCACCCAGGAAACCCTCCCTGAGCCCTGGCTACTGAGGATGGAGCCGCCCAGGATGAGAACCAGGCTGGGCCGCCTACCTGGATGGCAATGGGGACAATCTTGTTGGCCAAATTCTTGTACAGCAAGCAGATGGGCGCAGCCAGGAACTGCAGAGTGCAGGGGTCTGTTTTGTTGGCATCGATGCCATCCAACAGTTTAAAGTCCACGATGAAGATGTTCCCTTGCTGCAGGAGGTAAGAGGAAATACATCCAAATCAGGTTCAGTCTGAGACAGACCCAGGAATTGGGCACAGTGGGAGGCATAGGAGGTCCAGTCAACATAGTGGAGTTCAGAGCTTAGAGTTCTTGGAGTCCTGTGATTCCAAGGCATATTGACAGCAGTTTTCATAGGCTATGGTGGGGCTCAGCAAGGTGAAGAAATGCCAGGGGCTCCTAACACACTTGCTGTACCTGCAGTCTGCCTGAGCCTCATGAAAGATGTTGAGCCTCATGAAAGACCACCCAAAGTGACAGTAAAGAAAGAAGACAGAATTTAGATGAAATAAATGAGAGAAGTCAAATGCCAAGAGTGATGCTGCAGGATTCCACTTACAGGAGTTCAAAGCTGGGCAAACTCGAGTGTCAGAGTCAGGACAAATGTTATCCTTGGGAGGAGAGATGGAAAGGTGGCAGGAGGGAGGTTCTGAGGTTCAAAAGCGGGTGTCCACCATGTCAGGAGGGGGTAGTCAGGGCTGGGGGACCCTGAGGTTTTAAGGGAGGGTCTTCAGGGGTAAGGAGGTCTACAAGGGTGGGGGTGGGGTCTGCAGGGGTGGTGTGTATTCTGTGTCCTGGTGTGAGGTTCTGGCATGGCTGGGTAACTTGGTTCTACCAAGCCATCATTGAACTTGTTGCCACTCTTGATTCCTGTAGATATCACACTTCAATATAAAACAAAAATGCATGTGGGGAAGGTAGCAAGTCGCCCACCGCAGGTTACACTTGAGTCCCCTGCGTGTGTTAGTCACTCAGTCACGTGTGACTCTGTGACCCCATGGACTGTAGCCTTCCAGGCTCCTCTGTCCATAGAATTCTCCAGGCAAGAATACTGGCTGCTGCTTCTGCTAAGTTGCTTCAGTTGTGTCCGACTCTGTGCGACCCCATAGATGGCAGCCCACCATGTTCCGCTGTCCCTGGTCCCTGGGATTCTCCAGACAAGAACACTGGAGTGGGTTGCCATTTCCTTCTCCAATGCATTAAAGTGAAAAGTGGAAGTGAAGTCACTCAGTTGTCTCCGACTTTTCCCGACCCCATGGACTGCAGCCTACCAGGCTCCTCTGTCCATGGGATTTTCCAGGCAAGAATACTAGAGTGGGTTGCCGTTGCCTTCTCCAAGAATGTTGGAGTAGGTAGCCATTCCCTTCTCCAGGGGGTTTTCCTGATCCAGGGATTGAACCTGGAGTCTCCTCCATTGCAGGCAGATTCTTTACCATCTGAGCTACCAAGACAGAGCCTAACCTGAGAGCCGTGAGGGCTCCTTTTGCAGGGCCGGGGCCTACTCAGGCCAGACCTGGAAGAGTCTGGGTGGAGGACAAAGGTACTTCTTGTGTTTTAAGTTAGAAATGGAGGCAGCGGTTGCGATCCGGTTGGGGAAGGGGGTCAGGGTAGATGTGGTAGATAGACCTGTTAACAGGTGCTCAAGTCAGCTGCATGTCCATATGTCTGTCAGCAGAGGGCGCCAGGTGACCACAGCTCACAGGCCTCAGGAATACCAGCTGCAGGACCCTGCAGTTGTCTGACACCAGTGATGAGCTCTGAGCATCGGGCTGAGTGGCACTTAGGGCAGGAAGGGGACAGGGTGGGGGAAAGAGAGAAGGGTGCCCTTGGCCAGTCAGGGCAGAGGGAAGGTGGGGATAGGCTGCCTCCAGGAGAGTATGTGATGGTCCCTCAGGACACCTTGGCCAGAAACTGGAGACACCCAGGCCTGGTGGGTCACAGGGATGGTTGGGCTTCTGAGATGGGCTGGACAAATGGACTTTCAGAGCAGAGTGGCCATCAGTGACAAATGGCTGCCAATCAACTCTTGAGCAGACCAAATTATTTAACTTTATGAATGACAGGCTAAAGGGAGACCCTGGGAACCAGGGGGCCTGGGATTTGGGGCTGCCTATAGGGCATTTCTCTGTCATTCCAGGCCACCTCCTTTCTCTTGGCTGTGATTTCATCCTTCTGGAAAGTGAGGAGCCAACTGTATCTCTCAGTTCTGATATTCTAGATTCTGTAGAAGATACAGGTGGTCTCGCTTATCTGGTGTCCCTGTCCTCTCCTTTTGGTCAGCATTCTCCATTCTCCTTGCTGTAGTGACTGGCTCAGGGAATTGTCTCACAACTCAAACTGGACCCATGACATTCGCTGAAAGTGTTGGGAAATAGGGACTTTGTTTTCTGTGATTCAGCAGTGTTTGCTAAAATGACGGAAGGTAAGTCTGAAGCTCTTAGTGGTCATATTTACCTCCACAGAAAAAAATAATTCCAACAGCAGCAGAAAATTGATAACTGGAGAAATGATGCTAATGGATTATCTGAATCTTAGACCCAGCTAGTTCAGTCTGCTTTATGCTGTTGCACCAACCAAGGCATTTCTTGGGTTAAATTGGTTTTAACTTGAAACCACAGAATCCTAATATAAAGTCTAAGAACTAAAACACTCTTGAAGAGTTGTGACAATGACTCAAAAACAACAATAGGGGTAGAATTTACCTATTCATATTGCAAAAAAGTAATTGTACAGGTAAAGATGAAAAAAAAATTTGGAGTTTTAGTTGGCCACAAATCTATGATCTCTGTAGGTCGTAAGATGCTGCCAAAGAGAGGTAGCAGAAAAGATTGTGGGGATCGAGAACTACATTGCAGGGGATGAAGCCATGTATGCGTAAGAGATGGGGGGTAGAGCCATGTATGCATAAGAGATGGGTGGTGCATGTCTAATGATCCAGTCAATGGTGGCTATTGGATTACTGCTTCACCCTTGAAACCACAGCTGAGCACCAAGACTCAAAGGAAAGGTGACCACTGTGGTGGCAAGGACTCCTAAGTGGAGGCTGATCCCCCTGCTAGGGTGGCCGGGTACATGGGTGGCTGCTCAGTCCCTTCCAGTTCTAGGATTCTCTGACTTTCAGGGTTCAGTGATTCTCTGACTTGAAGCTTGAAATCAGTATCACTGAATCAATGTTACCATGTCCAGCAATTAAGTCTACAGAGAAGCACTGCTGTGTGTGCCTGTCTGCGTGGAGGTATGTGTTGTCACCTGTCCACGTGACTGGGCAGGAGCCCTGCCTGGGGACCTTACCTGGGCAGGTGGCCCTCTGGAGTCAGGTGGGCAGGGTGTGAGGGCTAGGAGGTCTATCTTCAAATGGCACTGACCATCCCTCTCTTGCCAGCCTCCTAAGATGAGCTGAGCAAGCAACATGGGGTGCCTAGAAACAGTAGAAGGCCCCCTAGACACCTGAGGGGCCGCTGGCAGGAGGCCTGCTCATCCTGGCTCTAGTGGGAAGGTGGAGGTGGCTGACATCAAGTACCTCCAGAGGAGGAGATTTGAACCCTTTCTGTCTCAAAACTAGATGAGTCTTGGAAGTGGAGAGAGCTGACCCTGCAGATGAGGGCCAAAAAGAGGGGTGGGAAGAGGGTGAGGACAGGAGCAGAAGACCAACACTTCTAATTAAAAAGTCAGAGTTCCATCAGTTTTCTGCTTTTGTTTTTGTTTTGTTTTGTCCTGATGTAAGATTAGCTTTTTCTCCAGTTTCTTTACCTTTGCAAGGTGGGTAACAATTGATGGTTCTGTATGTAAAGTATCTCTCAGAATACTTGACCCATAACAGGTCTTTTGTTAGAGGGAGCTCTTTTATTTATTATTTATTTATTTATTTTTTAGGGGGAGCTCTTTTAATTGTGATATTGATACTGAAAACATTGATCTTATGCTCTCAGACCTGAGCATCATGGAGAAATGTTACTCTCAATTCCCTCATCTATGTTGGACAAGATCAGTTTCATAAATGCTCAGGAAAAGGAAGAGGCCACTTCACCGAAGGCAGCCAATCTGACCATCAGCCAGAGCCTGGAGATAGTGGCCTGGAGGCCAGCAAGCATGGGCCAGCAGGACGTGGTTTCTGCCTGAGTGTGACCCGGCCACCCGAGCTGCCTCTGGCCCGGGCCACTGTCTCCAGCCTCCCAGGTCCTACCTCGACCTCCTGCTCCAGGGTAAGCTGCCGCTCCAGGCTGCACTCCACCATCTCTGTGGTCACCGGCAGATTGTCTGGCAACTTCAGACAGCGCTGGATCATCACAGGGTTGCAGCCATTCAGGAACTGATAGCCAAACATGAGGTCTTCCTGCCAGTGATTCATGACCCGCTCTGCAGAGAGAGAACTGCAGCTCAGCCTGAGCTCTGAGCCGGGCTGAGGTCGTCCTGATGCAGACCGGGGGCCAGAGTCCCTGCTGGTTCCCTCTCCCAGGCATTCACTGCACAGCCCACCATGCCAAACTGCTTGACCACTCAGTCAGGCCAGGGCACCACCCCATCCTCCCTAAGCTAGCTTTTAGGCTAAGGAGCTAGCTCCTTAGCCAGAAGGAACAAAAATAGACAAATGGGACTGCATCAAATTAAAAAGCTTCTGCACAGTAAAGGAAACAATCAAGAGTGAAAAGACAACCTACAGAACAGGAGAAAATGTTTGCAAACCATATATCTGATAGAGGTTAATTTTCAAAATACATAAGGAATTCCTACAACTCAACAGCAAAAACACCAATAACCTGATTGAAAAAGGGCAAAGGATTTGAACAGACATTTCTCTGAATAAGGCATAGCGATAGCCAGCAGGCATATGACAAAATGCTCAACATTACTAATCATCAGCAAAATGCAAATCAAAACCATCATGAGATACCACCTCACACCTGTCAGGACGCTATTATTATTTTTTTTTAAAGGCAAGTATTGGTGAGGCTGTGGAGAAGCTGGAACCCTTGTGCATAGTTGGTGGGAAGGCAGGATGCACAACTGTCATGAAGAACAGTGTGGAGCTTCCTCAAAAGGTTCAAAATAGAATGACCACATGATCCAGCAATCCCAATTCTGGGTCTTCGTCCCAAAGAATTGAAGTCAGGATCTTGAAGAGATAACTGCATCCCCGTGTTCATTCCAGCACAATCCGTAACAGCCAATATGTGGCAACCATGTAAATGCTCATCTACAGACAGATGAAGAAAATGTGGTGTATACAGACAATGGAATACTATTCAGCCTTAAAAAAGAAGTATATGTGCAGTATGTGACAGCATAGATGAACCTGGAGGACATTATGCTCAATGAAAAAAGCCAGTCACAGAAGGACAAATACTGCATGATTCTACTTACAGGAAAAATAAAAATTAGTCAAACTCATAGAATCAAAGAGCAGCATAGGGACCTCCCTGGAAGTCCAGTGGTTAAGACTTTGCCTTCCAGTGCAGGGGGTGTGAGTTCAATCCCTGGTCGGGGAGCTAAGATTCCCATATGCCTTATGGCCAAATAACCAAAACATAAAATAGAAACAATAATGCAAAATAGTCAATAAAGACTTTTTAAATGGTCCACATCAAAAAGAAAAAAAAAATCTTGAAAACATCAATACCAAAAGCAGCATAGCCTGGTGGTGGTTAAGAGGCAGTGGGGGAGTTAGTAATCCATGAGCATGAAGTTTCAATCAAGCAAGATGAATAAGTTCTATAGATCTGCTGTGCAACGCTGTACCTACAGAAAGAAAAAGAACCCAGGTGCTGTGCCCAGGAAGGAGGGGGGCCCGGGATGCGGGAGAAGGAGAGGAGCAGGGGGACAGCCTGGGAGGAGTCGGTGAAGGCAGCTGTTCCCTGTGCTTGCTTCCTTACCGTCTCCTAACTTTCCAGTTGCTGCATGGTCCATCCTATGCCATTCCTGGCAGGTATACGATGCTACTGCTCTACCAAACACATCCTAGTCCAAAGGAACCCATTGTTGCTTTCATGTAAATGCTTAAAAAAACCACTCTAACTCCTGCCTTTTCTTTGTTAAGAAGCATTAAAAATGACTGATTTATGTAAAGAAAAAATTCTGATATTTTCAAGACTTGATGGCGGAATGAGGTTGAGGGTGCTCAGCCTTGAACATCCAAGGAGTAGAAATCTCTGGCCAGGGGAGTGGTCCCCAGGAGAGGGCACCGTGTGGGTGCAGGCGGTGCCAGCCTGGGGGACAGGGAGGGCCTGGACTGGAGCAGGTGGGTCAGCCCTTTCCCATGCCCAGGCAAGCCTCCCCCAGCACCACGAGTGTGCCCCAAAACACACTCACCAGAAATAGTGTTGCTGATCCTGACAAAGATTTTCTCAAAGTCGGCGAAGTCGCTCCAGGACGACTGGAACATGTGCATGAAGCGGTTGATGAACAGGTTCTCCATCCTGCAGATCGAGACATGGTGGCCCCCTTGCACACGCTCTGGCCTTGCCTCCCCCTGCCAGGTCCCTTTGCAGCCTGGTCTCATGGGGCCTCTAGGGGCCTTGAACCCAGGGCAGCTCCAAGGGGCAGCTGACTGGCCTTGTGGAAAGCAGGATGAAACTGGCACCCATGGCCATGTGCTTCCTTCTGCACTCCCCTAAGAAAGAGCCCAGTGGCCTGCCCTCAACAACAGTCTACAGTGCTCGTGCCTTCATTCAGTCATCAAACTGCTGCTTCCCCTGATCAGTGGAAGCTTCCAGGGACAGACCACTGTTATTTCCTCTGCAGCTGCTCTCCTGGGTCTCCTGGATTTGGGAGGATGAGCAGTTCAGTGGAGTTTAGCCATCCTTTACTGTCTGCCTAACTCTGGCTCTTTGCCTGGTGCTGAGGAGGACACAGCTTCCAAATATTCATTACGCAGGAAAGCAAAGTAACCCAGGATAGGAACTTACTAAATTAAAAAGGCAGGCTGCAGGCAACAAGGAGAGAGATCTGAGTGGCCTGAGCAACCCAGGGGGCTTCCTGGAGGAGGCAGGTGTGGGATGGGTCTCAGAAAGGTGGAGAAGGCAGAAAGGGGTATCCCAGGCTTTCCTACATAACCTAAGCAAGGTGCAGGATGGAGTTGTGGGAACTCTGGCCAGTGCTCATGGTGATGGCCTCTGCCTCTTTTCCCTCTCTGGCACATGCACGGCTGGGAATGATGAGCAGTCACCCTGTTTCCTGCCTGCCGTCCAGTCTTCCAGGGTTCAGGCCTCCCCACCAGCTCTGTCTTTTATCCTGACTTGGTGGTATTGGCAAGCATGGTCTCCCCATTTGGAATGCTGTGTGCCCCTCTTTCTCCTCCTCCTGAGCATATGGGGTGAATGTCTCTGGAGGGCTTGCCTAGTGAACCCCGCTTCTCCTCTGATCTCATGAAGCTTCCCCTTCCCCACAGGCCTGTGATGTTACCTCCACATCGCTGATGGCGGGTTGAGTACAAACACATTCACATGAAAATCTGCCTACTACCCAAGCCCCAGGAGGGTGAAGGTGGGTCTGCATTGCTCCGTTGGGCCTGGGCTCCGGGCAAGAGTGGGCTCAGGGTGCATGGCCACAGCATAGTCAGGGCCTGGGGTGGGGGACCTTGCTGGTGGGCCTCCAGTGGGCTGCCTGTCCTGCCCGCCCATCTTCCCCAAGGGTGCCTCCCCCGAAAGCAGCCCTTACGGAGAGGCCCAGCCCCCTCCTTGCATTTACTCCTGGGGCAGTGGGCTGGCAGGGACTGAGTGTGTCTGCAAAGGTCTGGGAATCGGAGCCTCCTCATGCCTTCCATGGACTGAGGTTTGGGTGTTTTGTCTGGAGTGAACCTGGCTGATGGGCACAGAGGGCTCTGAATAGCATCATCGGGGGGGACACCTGTGAGCATGCAGGAGGGCAGCAAGTCCCAGCGACTAAAGATGGGGACTCGGCAGACAAGCGGGAGACCCTGGGCCCCTCCTGGCCCTGCCGGTCACAGCAAAGGTCACAGGCAGAAAAGGACACACCTGCTTGAAGACTCCTGTTTGGGTCCTGCCTCGATTTAGCAAATACTTCTCTTGTTGGTCCTAGCTACCTGGAGACCTGGGAGCCCACTCTGCTTGAGGGCAGGTCCTGGGGCCATGAGGCCAATGACCTCAGCGAGCTAGAGGAGTCAGCTGTCTATGGATGGTTGATACACTGTGAGGCCTGGAACATGCTAGAGCACAGCCTGGGCTGTGGTGGCTGCACACAGTAGGTGCTTGGCGCCTCAGAGCTTGAGAAGAACCGTGGTTTCATTCTGTCATCATCAGCAATTTGATCCCAGCCCTTCATGGGGAAGGGGGAGCTTTTACCCACATACTTGCTTTACTCATGTGCTTGTTGCAGCCTCACCACTGCCAGGCAGGCCTCCAGGAATGCCCCCAGCTAAGCTTCTACCAGCCACGTTCCTCCTTCCTCACCTAGCACCCAGCCCTCCTCCTTTGTTAACTGAGCTCCCTGGGACAGGAATCCTTGTTAAGGTGGAGGACTAAACCTCTAATGATCTCTGCTGTCTGGGTGTGGAGAGGCCTTCCCAGGCCTGTACAATCCTCCCTGCCTGGAGGATGGCCCAGCACCACATTGCCCTGGAAAGAGTGCACTTTGTGGGGGACTGGGAGGGTGTCACAGCCCCACGTGGGTCACGGGTCTCCTTAGCTGGTCTCTTTGACCTTTGAACAGAAGGTTGGCACCGAACATAGGGTGGGGTGTGGTAGCACTACCCAGAGGAAGCCAGAGATCCAGGAAGAAGAGGAGTTAGGAGGAAAATTATTTGCAAGTCATCTAGAGGCAAAATATTGCTACATAAAAAGATGTGTTATCACACAAAGCAGAACGCGGCCAGAGAGGGCACTATTTAGCAAATACTTCTCTTGTTGGTCCTAGCTACCTGGAGACCTGGGAGCCCACTCTGCTTGAGGGCAGGTCCTGGGGCCATGAGGCCAATGACCTCAGCGAGCTAGAGGAGTCAGCTGTCTATGGATGGTTGATACACTGTGAGGCCTGGAACATGCTAGAGCACAGCCTGGGCTGTGGTGGCTGCACACAGTAGGTGCTTGGCGCCTCAGAGCTTGAGAAGAACCGTGGTTTCATTCTGTCATCATCAGCAATTTGATCCCAGCCCTTCATGGGGAAGGGGGAGCTTTTACTCACATACTTGCTTTACTCATGTGCTTGTTGCAGCCTCACCACTGCCAGGCAGGCCTCCAGGAATGCCCCCAGCTAAGCTTCTACCAGCCACGTTCCTCCTTCCTCACCTAGCACCCAGCCCTCCTCCTTTGTTAACTGAGCTCCCTGGGACAGGAATCCTTGTTAAGGTGGAGGACTAAACCTCTAATGATCTCTGCTGTCTGGGTGTGGAGAGGCCTTCCCAGGCCTGTACAATCCTCCCTGCCTGGAGGATGGCCCAGCACCACATTGCCCTGGAAAGAGTGCACTTTGTGGGGGACTGGGAGGGTGTCACAGCCCCACGTGGGTCACGGGTCTCCTTAGCTGGTCTCTTTGACCTTTGAACAGAGGTTGGCACCGAACATAGGGTGGGGTGTGGTAGCACTACCCAGAGGAAGCCAGAGATCCAGGAAGAAGAGGAGTTAGGAGGAAAATTATTTGCAAGTCATCTAGAGGCAAAATATTGCTACATAAAAAGATGTGTTATCACACAAAGCAGAACGCGGCCAGAGAGGGCACGTGGCTCGTCTGAGGTTACACAGCCAGGTGACAGCAAGGACAGGTAATGGCACAGCCAGGTAAAAACAGAACCAGATATAGACACAGCCAGGCGGGAACTCACATGGAGCCACTTGCTGGCCTGGGCTGGGCACCAGCTGTGGGGCCTGCGCTGGCAGAGGCGGGAGCTCCTGCTTCCTCCGCCCCCTCCACCCCTTTCCTTCTTTGAACAGCTTCTCCATTTCCCATTTCATGGTTGTGCTCTTTGGGGTGGGGGTGCCAAGCTTACTGGACAGGGCCAGCCGCGTTCCAGGCAGAGCAGGTGGCTCCGAGGAAACTTGCCAGTTACCCAGAAGTGACGCGGAAACTGAGCTGTCCAGAGGCGGAGGTTCAAGAGGGAGGGGCCCTGAAGATCTCCCCAGTCTGTTTTCCGTAGTAAACGCCGGCCGGCCGAGGTTAGCTAAGGGCGGAGTGGCGCCTCATGGAGGGAGCTGTGGGGAGGCCGGCCAGGCCCTAGGTCAGGTCAGATCTGGGACCTTCAGGGCAGTAGGGCTGCCACGTGCAGCGTGGACACCTTTTCCCTTCAGACCACTGAGGGGATGGACCAGAGGGTCTTGGAGCCCCAGCTCCACTGCTGGGGTCTGGACACAAGAATCCTGAGTGGGGCTGGAGTCCATATGCAAGCCCAGGCCAAGGCTAAAGAGAACAGTTGATATGGATGCAGGTCACTACAGCCTGGCTGAAAATCCTAGCCCCATCTCTTCCCAGAAGTGTGGTCTCAGACAAATCCTTGACCTTCTGTGCCCCAGTGTCCTCATCCCTGAAGTGGGTATAATGATTGTCCCTGCCTCACAGGGTTGACATGATATATAAAAAGCACTGGTATGTAAAATGAGTTCAACAAATATTAGTGACTAGCACCCTGATTATCACTTACTGTTAATATTAATATTAAAATCTGTAGCCTTAAGCTACGGTGTTCTGGGAGGACAAGTGGGTAAGTTCACAATCCAGGCTACAGCACAGTACTTGCCCCCTCCCTCCTGCCATCTCCTTCCTGGGGTCCTGCTGTCTAATTCACTCATCACGTTCTTCCTTCACACTCAGTTCACCAAGGAATCTGTACGTACTGGTTCCTCTTTGCTTCCTCTCATCTGCTGCCCCGAATGTTCTCCTCCATGACACTGGGTGTCATATCCTCGTCACTGTATCCACAGAGTCAGCTCTAAACTCCCCTGATCTCCCTGAAGCATCTGACAGCCAACTTCTCTTTCCTTGACACTAAAATGCTGACCCCCATGGACTTATCCGTGCTTCAAACCCTCATGGTCCTGCAGTCTCACCCCAGTAAAGGCTGGGATCCTTGCCCCATTCCCTGCATTGGCAGCCTCAGTCCCACTTCCCTACACAGGCTCCCCCACTTCAGTCCTCATGGATCATGGAGTTCTCACTGCCCTGAATGCCACCCCTCCACTCCTCCAATCAGCCCAGTGAAGTCCTATACATCCTTCAAGACCCAGGTTGGGCTTCCCTCTAGAAAGCTCTTTCCTGATGCTGCTTTCTCAGAGCTTCCTCCCTGCCTCCTGCTTCCCGAGTGCTCCTTTCCTAAGGAAAATCCATCACATGCCATTGCGATGAGCCATCCACAGCTCAGTCTCCAATAGACTGTGAGCTTCTTGGACTGCTTTTGATTCATCTCAGGTCCCCACTCGCAGGAGCCCAATAAACGTCTGTCAAAGGATGAGCAGCAGATAGCCTGCTCTGGGCCAGCTTCCTTGGGGGTGGAGGAAGCCCAGAGGAGCCAGCAAACAGGCAGTGACAGAGCCTCAGGTGGCAGCTCCCTGGCCAGTCTGCTTCCTTGGACTCAGGAAGAAGGAGGTCCCCCCCATCACCCAGAACGGAGCTACTAGAGGCCACACCCCTAGAGGGTGCTAGACCTCCCCGCAGCAGCAGTGCCTACATGACTTCATTTCAATCTCACAACAATTCTAGCAGTCAGGCATCATCGGCCTTCCTTTACAGTCAGGGAGCTTTTAAGTCAGGAAACTTAAAAACCTCTCCCAAGATGATGCAGCTAGAATCTGAAATGGCCACTGCTTTCCAGGCTCTAGAAAAGGTGACCTCTTGCTTGTAAAGGGTACTTAGAGATGAGATAACATTTGTTATAATTTTAATAGATTAATAGATTCCCACCCCCCAACCCAGCGTTGCCATGATGGTTAAAACAGACAATTCTATGGAGAAAGCACCCACACCCACAGCCTGGCACTGAGTAGGGGCTTGGTAAGTGTCAGGCCCTTGTTACTTTCTTCCTCCCAGAGACGCAGCCTCAGGAAGACAGATAAACTGGGTTTCTGGATCCCTCTGATATGAGGGGGATTCCCTGCAGAGTTTGCTTGTCAGGCTGTGTGTGTGTCTGTGTAGGGTTTTTCTCATATGTCCCAAGGAAGAAGACCTGTGGCTGTGGCCTCCCACCCCTTCTTTACAGAAGTTCAGAAGTTCGACCAAATGAGGCAACTTCTTGAGGGGAGAAGCTTTGCAACTAAGCAAACGTTGCCACAGAAGCTAACTGAATGAGTACTTCTCAACCTGTCTGCCTCCTGGTTATGCCAACCCAAGGCTAGGGCCCACTTGGGGAAAGTCTCACCCTGGCGGTAGGGAGTGGCCGGCACCAGGAGGTGCTGAAGCTCCTCAGGGCAGTCCAAGGCTTGGTTAGGTAGCACGTCCATGGATTTAGGGTTTTCCAGATTTGCATGACTGGGAGAATTCCCTAAAGTGTCAGTGTACTGATTCAGAGACCCCTCCGCTAGCCCCGGGGCGGGCCTGGGGCTCCATGTTGGTAACAAGCACCCAAGGAGTTTTTGAAAACCATCAGTAATTCAGCCGCCAAGAAGGGGCACAGAAGTCAGATCTCTGCCATTTATTAGCAGGAGCTACCGGGCAAATATCTGACTTCCTTCTTCTGCAGATTCTTGAACTGCAGAATGGGGTTAAGAACTGTGCCCACCACATGGGGCTGTGGTGAAAGACGAACAGAGATGCAGGTGAGCCACCGGCACAGGCACGCTGGCCGTTATTACCGCAGGACCCTGCCACTTAGGGGACAGCTTACACCTGGTCTACCCTGGAACTGGCCCGAGGGGAGAGGAGGCATTCCCAAGTAAAGACCTCCACTCTGGGCTGAAAACAGCTCTGTTTGGCGTCTGGAGCCCTATGTGCTGTAACTTTGTTTAGATACAGGTTCCCCTGTGATTGCGCATTCAGGATCCATGCTATGACCAAGATGGAATCAAGTGATTTGGGAGGAGTTGCTCAGCAGAGCTGCTCCCTCAGCCCAAGACCCCCACGAGGGGAGGAGTTAGAGTCCCGCCTCCGGCCCCAGCTGCTCAAGCTCTCACCCACTTACGCTTTGGAGTAGTTCAGAACGAAGTCCACGCCCTTCTCACTATCGAACTGGATATCTCGGGGTAAATCCTTGTGGCATTTGGCATCAATACTCAAGGGGAAGCCAGGGTTCCACTCCATCCATCTGAGCGTGAAAGCGAAGGAGAAAAAGTAGAATTAAATGTCTGACCTCTGGGTCGGCCCCTCAGGCTGAAGGCTGCCCATCAGGTCACCACGTTGTGGCTGAGCGTGTGCCCGGTGAGGTATGGGGATGCCTCCCAGGGTCTGGTAGCCCCCCACCTTGCTGTGTCCTGAGCCTCCCAGTGGGAGGCCTGAGGTCTCCTAAACCTGAGGCTGGGCTTCCAGCAGAGGAGTGGATGGTAGGTGCATACAGAGAGCATCAGAAGACCTCATTTGTTTGAGATGACATTCAAGGGCGATGTCCCCCCAGCCCAGAGCTGCCTTGCTGGTCAGTGGAGGTGGAAGTGGTAGGCCCTCACATCTGACCTGGACATCCAATGTCTCACCAGCTTGGTCAACACCCTTGTATTGTGTGTGGTGGTCAGGGGAAAGGGGACAGTGGTCATGCCTTCACACACACGGGGCACAAGGCAGCAGGGTGGTTGGGCAAGGACCTCCAGGCACAGACTGCTGCCAACAGTGGGTTCAGACATTGCTACAGTCAAAAGAGCTCCCCTCAAACAAAGGCCATGTACTCTACCCCACCAAAGATTTTAGAGTCTGTTATCCTTGAACTTTATCCTGCAGCACTGGGCATTTAAATTTTATTTTATTTTTTTTTGCCATGTCTCACAGTTTGTGGGGTCTTAGTTCCCCAACCAGGGATCAAACCCAGCCCCTTGCAGTGGAAGCTCAGAGTCTTAACCACTGGACTGCCAGAGAATTCTCTGTCTTTTTAAAATTTTGTTTACTGCAGAAGCAAACCAAACCAAAAATCTGTTAACTTCTTTAGGGCAGGGATAACGATCTTATATTTGTTTAAAAACCAAAATTTACATTCTGGGATTTCAGCTTTTCCATTTGTATTCCTAATTATCTTTCCTTTTTAATCTCTCTTATGAGAGGGAAGTAAAACACCAAGTGTACAGGTCATTAAAAAGTCGTAAGGTCCTTCAGTATCATCTTGCACTTTCATTGTCACAAAAATTCCCAGTGTTTTTTCAGTCATCCTGTTTGTCCAGTAAGCCTCTCACTATTATCATTAGAGCTGAACAGGAGTTGGATATGAGCACTCTTATAATCACTCAGGGTGCATTTTAAAAAGTATTTTCTGTTGCACAGGACCTTACATTTCCTGCTACTGGTTTACTTACAACATTCTATTTTCTTAGACATTAAGAAAACCTTCTATTTTTGTTGTTCGTATTAACACCAATGCTGGGACACTAACCAGACTAAAAATGCAGGTGAATGTACAAAATAAATCAACCAATTTATTGATTTTTTTCCTTTGTTTAAAAAATTATTCAAGGCATCTCCAATATATGTCTAAAACTGAGACGGTTATCTGGTAGCCCAGCTGGTATTAACTATCAATTGTGGGTGCATGCCTGCTCACTTGCTCAGTCATGTCTGACTCTTTGCAACTCCATGGACTATAGACCGCCAGGCTCTTCTGTCCATGGGGTTTTTCAGGCAATAATACAGGAGTGGCTTGCTATTTCCTCCTCCAGGGGATCTTCCCAACTCAGGGACTGAACCCCCGTATCCTGTGTCTCCTGCGTTGGCAAGTAAATTCTTTATCACTGTGCCACCAATTACTGTCGGTCAAATCAATTTAAACATCACTAAACATTTTCTTTTAGCCACTGGAAGTCCAAGGGCTCTAATCAATTTTAAGAGCTTAGTGGAGCTGGATTTTTTTCAGTATGCAAGCACTGACCTCAATGAGGGGAGATGTGCCAGCTAATGCATTCCCATACCTGGAGTACATTTCCTAAAGACCTCCCTGACTCCCGCTGACCCCAGCCTCCAAAATGCTTCCACCTTGGGTGGTCATAAGACCACAGCCTCTTCAATGCAAGGAGACAGTACAGCTTGTCAGCTAGTTTACAACTGGCGCCTGAAACCAAACGCTATATTCCTTTGACTCAAGGACTGCTGCCTGAGAGACCTGACAGGCTGACCTGTGCAAGGCCCAAAGACCTTCCCATCTGCAGACAAATAGGCCAAGAAAAATCACACTCCACTGGGAAGACCATGTTGAACAACCAACCAGAAGGAAAAAGCAGAAAAGACATTTAATTTCTTAAAAAAGAGAGGGCTAGAGAGGTCTTAAAGAGGTGTAATTAGAATCTAAAAAGACTTTCTGCAACCATAAAACATGATTTCTGAATTGAAAATTCCATAGAAAAATGGGAAAAGAATACCAGTCACTGTGAGATCTAATCAGTCTCCTGGAAGACAATAATCTATTCATTATCTCATTATCGAGCACTGTTATATGACAGGAACTGCCTTGGGCCAAATGGAAGAAATTGTAACACCGATATACAAAGAAATGGAAGCCATGGAAGAAAACACAGGAGACATGAAAGTTAGGTATACAGGATTTGATTTGTGGAGAGTCAGAGTTCCAAAGGATAAAGAGCAATATATGGAAGAGTAAAAATCAAAGAAATAGGAGAAAAACTTCCTTAAGCTAAAGAAACCTCAATTTTCTGAGTAAATCCTATACAGAAAAAAATAACAAAGGGGAAAAAAGGCATTCCTAGGTATATTCTGACTATATTGTAAATGTCAAAGAGGAGAATGTTGGAGGGAGGGAGGGGAGAGGAAGGAAGGGGTAAAGAGGGAGGAGAGATGTTCCTACAAACTCACAAGCTTCTGGGAAAAGGAAACTAACCAAACTGTCATTAGGTTTCTTATTTGCCATGGTGATGACCGGGAGACAGTGTTAGGTGTTTAAAGGACATTTTTTAGATCATCATTTAAGCCTCTTATATCAAGTCAAGGAATTCGTGAGGGCAGGAGAAATATTTTTTTGGGGAGGGGTTGTGGGGACAAGTATGGACTGGGACATTATATTACCCACTTTTTCATATAATTAATTGAAAGTGCGTGTATGCATGTTCAGTTGTTTCAGTCATGTCCAACTCTGTGACCCTGTGGATTGTAACCCACTAGGTTTATCTGTTCATGGGATTCTCCAGGCAAGAATACTGGAGTGGGTTGCCATGCCCTCCTCCAGGGATCTTCCCAGTGCAGGGATCTAACCTGCACCTCCTGCATTGCAAGAGGATTCTTTGCTGCTGAACCATCAGGGAAGCCCCATATTAATTGAACAAGTTCAGCTAAACAAACATGATGTTAAAATGAACCATGAAGTTACTGTTTATCAGAAAACAGTAGCAAATATATTGAACAAATAAATAAGCAAAGAGTGTTTATCAGAAAACAACATATTGAACAAATAAAAATATCAAAGGTATTTTCTCAAAAATCAAGACTCATAAAGGATGTTCATCCTTGCTACGTTACTTTGTTCTGACAATAAGAAAAAAATCACTGATGTAAATAACGTAAACTAAGACACAAAAGTATCATCATTTTTATAACATGATTAAATAACCAGACAATTTAAAAAGACTCACTTAAAAATAATTAGAACCAATAAAATAGTTCAGCAAGGTGTCAATACAAAGTAAATAGTGAAAAATGAGTAATTCATCTTTATCCCAGCAATATTCATTTAAAATGGAAAAATATCCCACTTAGAATGGTAACAGCTACAGTTTCTATTGGTATAAGGCAACTGGAATAGTGAAAGCACTTCATGAATAAAACTAGAAATTCCACTGAAGGATATCACATAGATCTAAGTGGGTGGAAAGATGGAACATTATTAAAATGCCAGTATGGGACACATTATTTGTAATTCAAAGCAATTCTCAGCATGAAAAACTAAAAAGAACAGTGAGATAACAAAACAATCATTCACATTTATTAGAAAGTCTTGACCACCAAAAGATAGAGCTGGGTCATGGGGCAGAAAAACAGACCCAAGAAAATATGCGAATGTAATACAAAACTAGTTAATATGTACCCAGTGTTTCCTATGTGTCGAATACTAGTCTATGTGTTTTCATAGTGTAACCTATTTAATTCCAAACCCTAAGAGGTGGTATTATTATTTCTCCCACTTTACAGATGGGGCAGTTGAGGCGCAAAGAGATTGAATAGCTTTCCCAGTGGCAGTAAGTGGGGCTGAGCCCAGGCATTGACTGCAGGGCCCACACACATGGTTGCCATATCAGCTTCGTGTGCCGTGGGTATCATCCCAAAGCAGCAGGGAGAAACTTATTACTTAATAAATGATACCAGAAACATTCGATTCCGATTTCACATCATGTATAAAAATGCATAGCAGATGAATTAAAAGCCTAAAGTTAACAAAATTATAAAAAATATTAGACAAAAATATGAGTACTTATGTAACACTGGGATGGGGAGGGCCTTCTTAAGCAAAGCAGGAAACCCAAAATTTACAAAGAAAAAGAATGCATATATTAAGAAAATAAAGAGCTAAAATCTGTGGTAAGAGCAATAGAAGACAGATGAAATACACTATACATATAACAAAGGGATACTATCCCAATATATGAAGAGCTCCTTTAGATTAATAATAAACTCATAGAAAAATAAAGTGCATAAACAGGCAATTTGAACAAGGAGCAAAGCAGAGGCTAAACTCACCAGTGGCCAGAGGCATGCAGATTAAGACAGCAGTGGGCTCTTACTTCAGGGTAAGGGCCTTTTGTTTTGTTAAAAATTTAAAAGATTGATGTCATCAGGCATTAGTGAAGGTATAGGTAATAGTATATTTTCATATACCATTGGTGAGATTGAAAACTGCTGTAAAATTTTGGGAAGAGAGTTTTGTCATTATTTCTTAAAGTGAAAACTGATGATTTGACTCAGGTATGTGAGTTCTGGAAATCAATCTGACATTAATTCAAGCACCAGTACATCAACATGTTTGTACGAGGTTGCTTCTTGCAGCACTGGTTTTAATACAAAATATAATTCAATATACAAATGGGAAACAAACTGAATGCCCATCTATAGGAGAATGGTTGAATAAACTCTGGTACCGTCACATAAAGCAAGAAATAGTGGCAATTTAAGGATGAGGAAAACAGTAAAAGAGAAGCTATTGCACACACATTAGATTGACAAGGATGAAAATGTCTCAAGGTGTAAAGTGGGTGGATGATGTAGGGAAACAGCAACTCAGGAACAGCTCCTGGGGTGAAAATCGGCAGAACCCCTTTGGAGAACAATAGGCAACATTTAGAAAATTTAACATGTGGTCTGCAATCCTGCGTGTCTGCTCCTTTGTATGTTCCCTAGAGCAACTCATTAAAGAAATCAGGAGACAAGATGTATGAGGAAACTGATTGCACTGGCTTGTGACAGCCAGAAATTAAAGACTTTCCAACATGTCCACCAGCAGGGGAGTGGGGGAGCATGATGGTTTATTCACACGATGGTGTGCCACACAGAAGCTAAATGAAAGCACAGCACCTATCAATTGGCAGCTCTTTGCAACAGAATAATGGGGGAAGAAAGAGCAAGTCATGGAATGATTAGATTAAATGATGTAGATGAAAACCCACTTCTCTATAGTTTGCTCTCTGTCTGTGTGTGACTGTGTACCACACATGCAATCACAGTGAGAGAACATGGGTGCTGGATTATGAACTGTGTGGGCTTCTACATCTTCCAGCTTGGCTGACTGAGTGAAGAGAACCAGCTGAATTTGCCAGCTTCTGACATACTGGAGACTATTCTTAGCTGTTAACTTTACTTTCACACTCTTATCTGGAAGCCTGAGGGTTCATGTGAAAGAGGAACTCTAAGAATACGCAGACAGTGCAAAGTTCAGTGTTTCCTAAACGGAAACAGAGCAGGAGGTCTGAAAAGAACAGATGAGCAGAAGGAAGAAGAAAAATGATGATTAGATCTACAAAAGGGGCAAACAATCTCATCAGAATACCCTCTGCCTCGTCTCCTGTGCGTTCATGCATGGTGTGTGCTCAGCCAGGTCCGACTCTTTTCGACCCTATGAACTGTAGCCCGCCAGGCTTCCCTAGACCCTACTGAAGCCCCATCCCTGTAAGACCAACACACCACTGAACCCACCTCTCCCTGGGGAAGGGGTGTTTCCCAAAGGGAAACAGTGCTTCACAGAGCACTCCTTCTGCAGGACATTGAGTCCTACATCAAATTCTCTTGAGAGATCTTGGGTTAAAAAAGATCAACCAGGGATCATTACCCCAAAACGTCTCAGAATTCTCAGTGCTTATGTGCACTGTGAAACTCCAGGAGAATGTGATAAACAGTTTCCCAAACTTGTTTTACCATGGAACCCTTTTCTGGAGAGAAAGTTTGGGGACCAATGCTCCAGGGTGCATTTTGGAAAACACTGGGTTAAGACAAAATGTCTGTTATAACAATTAACATCTTAGTCTGAATTAGTGTGGAACTGATAAAATCTGCTCTCCACTCTCTTAATTGGACATAAACTAGCAGATTCTCTGGAAGCTGCTTAACTCACCATAGTATAGGACTCCTTCCTTCCATAAGCACATGGAGTCCTTGCTGTAGGGACTTTCCACCGTGGTTGAAATGGGAAGGGAAGGGGTATAAGAACACCAACCCCTTAGGATGGGAACGGGTGGTGCAGTGCTCTTGGACAATGCCTTGTGCACTGCATCAAGCACAAAATTCTCAAAGCTCATATGGTGCCTGAGCTGAGAGGCTTACTCACAAATATTCTACAGCAAGTCGCAAATTCATAGATGCTTAACATCACACATTGCGTTATCAGATTATTCTCCCGAGTGTGTGTGTGTATGTGTGTGTGTGCACGTGTGTGTGTGCACGTGCACACGCATGCTCAGTTGCTTAGTCATGTCCGACTCTTTGTGACCCCATGGACTGTAGCCCATCAGGCTCCTCTGTTTATGGTATTTTCCAGGTAAAAATACTGGAGTGGGTTGCTGTTTTGGTGATCTTCCTGAACCAGGGATTGAACTCACATCTCCTGTGTCTCCTGCATTGGCAGGCGTATTCTTTATCACTGTGCCACCTGGGAAGCCCTTTATTCTCCTATATGTGGTACTAAAATCATAGAAGTTTCATTAAAATTTTCTTTACTATGGAAAAGAAAATATAAATATGGAAAAGAAAAAAGAAAAAATTTAATACTCACATATGAAAAATGCACAAAACATCTGTATAAGCAACATCCAGATCAAGAATCAGAACATTGCCAGTAGCCTCAGCCCCCCACATGCCCACTCAATCTCCCCAATCACCTCAGCTTTGTAATAATCACTTCCTGCTACTATTTATTGTTCTACTGTTATACAAGTTTCCCTAAATAACATAATTTCAAACCTCATAAACTGACCAGACATGTGGCTGGCTTCTGTTCTTCAGCACTGTGTTTGAGGTTTGTTCCTGTTGCTATGGGTACCAGCAGTTCATTGTTCTTCCTTGCAGGGTAGAGTTATCATAATTTATTTATCTCTTCTTATTTATCTCTTGATGGACACTGGGTGGTTTCCACTTTTTTGCTCTCATAAATAATACTGTGACCATCTCTGTACATATATCCAGGTGTATATGCACCTGGATTTGGATCCTGGAGTAGAACTTCTGAGCCATAGATCAAATGTAGCTTGACTTCCATCAGATATTACAAAACTGTGTTGTACAGAGGTTGTTTCAATTTTTAGCCCTGTTAGCAGTGCATGAGCCTCCCCATCCCTTCATACCCTCTTTGACATTTGGGTATTGTCAAGTTGTTTCAATTCTGCCTGTGTGTGTATAGTATACTAGTAGTAGTAGCAATCATTCATTGTGATCTTTTGATTTCTCTGATTACAAATGAAGCTAAGCACCTTTTTTGTATACTTGCTGTTCACATTTTGTGCAGTGACTGTAAGTGCCTTTTTTTTTTTTTTTTTTTTACTGAACTGACAATCCTCTTTTTGTAGATTTGTAGAGATCCTTGGTACACAGTGAATAATAATTCTCTTTGTACTGTTTTGTAGGGAACAAGACTTCCTCACTTTGAAATAGCTGAGATTATTCTTTCCTTTATGGTTAGGGCATTTTGAGTCTTATGGTTAGGGCATTTTGAGTCTTATTTGAAAAATCTTTTTTCCTGAGGTCATGAAGAAGAATCTCCTATGGTTTAAAAGCATTAACAGTTTTGCCTTTAATATTTAAGCATACTCAATCCAAAAATAAGTTTTCTGAACAACATGATTTAGTCTCCTTTTCCTCTTTCTCTGCCTCTTTCCATTCTGTATGATGCTTAATAACCCCGCACCACTTATCATCACTGCCTTTGTAATACATCAAAATATATTTATAATATATCAAATATATCCACATGTGTATGACTCTCTCATTTTCCATTCTGTTTTATGGAAATGTAAATTTTTGAAGGAAAGGGGGATAGAGCTAAACATAATTTTCAGACTGGGGGAATCAGTGGTCTCAGTGGGGATTTCTCAACCACTGGACAGAAGTGGGTCTCTGAGAAGCGGGGGAAGAATAAGGAACTAAGAGATGCTTTCACAAATTAGGAAAGTTAAAAAATAAAAGATACTATTAAGCTTTGGCAAGTATTAAGTGAAATGGATGCCCACACACTGATCCTGAAAACTAGCTAAAAGATTTTTGAAAAGAAATTTGTCAATATATACTAATAATTTATGCTATTTGATTTAGTAATTTCACTCCTGGGCATCTATCCTGAGGAAATACTTAAAAATGCACACAAAAATGGAAAGATAATAAAATCCCCATTCACTCAGAATTCCACAATGACGCATTAAATTATAGGCTGCATATACTTTCCAGATGTGAACTCTTGCTTGTGTGTATTATTTTTTTAAAACAGTTGTATTAAGGGACTTCCATGGTGGTCCAGTGGGTAACAGCCTGCATTCCCAATACAGAGGGCCTGGGTTCAATCCCTGGTCGGGGAACTACATACCACAGGCTGCAACTAAGAGTTCGCATGCCACAACTAAAGATCCTGTGTGCCACAACAAAGACCAGCACAGCCAAATAAATAAATAAAAATAAACATGAAAAACAGCTATATTGAGATATAATTTACATACAATAAAATTCATCCCTTAAAAGTATCCAATTATAAGGTTTTTAGTATATTTTCAGAGTTGTGCAACCATCACCATAATCTAATTTTGGAATATTTTCACCCCCCAAAAAGAAACTTTGTATCCAGCTAATAGTCATTCCCCATGTCCCATTCCCAACTTTCAGCCCTAGCTGATGACTAGTCTACTAATGTCTGTCCATAGACTCGCCTATCCTGGACATTTCACAAAAATAAATTCACATAACATACAGCCTTTTGTAAATAACATTTGGCATAATGTTTTTGAGATTCATCTATAGTTTAACATGTATTCATAATTCAATGCCATTGAGAGGATGTTCCAGTGCCTGTTGCATTGGAAATGCAGAGTCTTAACCACTGGACCACTAGGGAAGTGCCTCATCTAAGTTATCTAACAGGTTGGTATACAGTTATTCATACTATTCCCTTTCATTCATTTTAATTTCTGTGAGGTTGGTATTGATGTTCCCTCTTTTCGTTCTAATTTTAATAATTTGAGTCTTTTCTTTTTTCTTGGTCTGTTTGCTAAATATTTGTCCAACTTCTTGTGGATCATGTATCACGTTTATAACTTAAGTGTGATAAGAAGACATAAAAAGTAAGGGGTAATCCCTACAATGGGAAGTGAGAGAATACCAAGGTGAGTTCAAGCCTTTGCTGTCCCATTCCTTCTAAATGTCAATAAGGTTGATTCCACATTTTTCATAACTCTTTCACCATCTCTGCTTGAAATGGTGGTAAGGTGGAGCTTGGGTATTGAGGAGAATCAAAGGGATCTGGCACTTCGGTCATCACGTACCAACACTGATGGGCCACAAACTGTGGGCAGAGTTATGCCTCTGAGATAGAAGAAACCATGGCTCCACGGCTATTTGATCTGACGTCACAACTCACCGATACTGTTTTTGTCGTGTTTCCAGTTCTTTGCGTCTATGCTGCTTGAGAATGTGAATCTGGTCATCACAGGCCAACTTCGCTGTGAAGAAAGCACATGTGTGAAATGAGCCTAGAGAAGGACAGAAACAACATCCAGTGTTCAGGCTTCCCGCAGAAACCTACTTGTGCCAATAGAATATGGGGGATGTCACACTGGCCAGTTTCCAGAGTCAGGCGTCAGGAAACTGGCAGAATCCACTTTGACTCTTGGAATACCTGCTCTTGGAAGTCCACCACCACTTAAGAAGCATGAATCCCCTGAGGCCACCAAACTGTGAGACGTCTAAGCTCTATCGGGAAGCCTTAAAAATGAGATGCCATTTGGACAGTGAGAGACCACGGAGCCCTGAAGCTCCAGCCACGTGAGAGAACCATCTTAGAAGTGGATCCTCTAGCCCTCCCTGCTCAGTGGATGCCCATGGCTCACAGAGGAACCACCCAGCTAAGCTCTTCCCAACTTCCTGACCCCTAAGATCATGAGCAAAACAAAATGGCTATTTAAAGATTGCTACACAGCAATGGGTCAGTGAGACATGCTGGGTGGCTTCCATGTGCCCCTCCAGAGCCACCCTTCATCTCGTCCTATCCCTCAGGGTTCCTGATCAGTGCATCAGTGGGCTCCACGCTGGGTCGAGCCACTGGGAACCCTTGCCAGAGAGTGGAGCGCATGGGGCAGTGAAGAGAGGACATTTCTTCCCTAGCCTCTCTGCAGTGTCTCCCCAGACTGTCTGCATCTCTGCTGAGGGCTACAGATCCTCCCAAGTCAGCTCTGGCTCCAGAACACTCCCCTTCTAAATTATTCTGGCATTTTCCCCCTCCCCCACCCCACTAGGCCATTAGGACTAGCAGTGCTAATGGCCTTCCACACTGGCCTATGCCTTCTAAATATCCCAGTTTGAATGTGCCATATGTTTTATTGCTGGAAAGAGATGTGGGGTTTGTGGGAAGAAGGACTGGACTATACAGCTGAGACCTTGGGTGGCAGGTGGGTAGCAGGAAGTGGAGCTCTTGATTTTAAAATCTTGCTAGAAGTGCCCTGTCTGCAACCTTTGGTGGCCACCAAAAGACAGAATGACTTTTGTGATCTTTTCCCTGCCATGAGGACAGAGGGTAAACATCCTTTTTGACCTAATCATGTAGTTCAGAAATGCACCTGAACTTTTCTTTCTTAAGTTAAATTCCAGATCAGAAACAATGGGATGCGGTCTGAGAGTTTAAGAGCACCAGGCACGGATTTGAATCATGCTAAGAGGCTGGTGAGCCAAGTGGGGAGGCGCATTGTTCAGAGGGAAAGCGGCCTGAGATCACCCCACCACCAGCTTCTCTCTCCTCCACCTCCAAGCAGGCCAGCCGTGTGTCTCTTACCAAGAATGGCCTCGTGAGGAAGTGTCAGATTGGGGTCTGCACATTTGAGGGTCTTGCTTAAGAGGGCACATTTTAGGTTCTCTCTTTCAGCAAAAAAGTGAGACTTCAGGTTTAATGGCTGGTGACCACTGAACATGAGCTCTGCCCATGATTCCTCCGAGCTGGTGCATAGGCACTCCTGGTCACCCCTTTCCTTTCCCTGGCCTGAGTGGGATCCCTGTGAGCCCAAGTACCACCGTGACCTCCCAGAGAGGAGAGCCAAGAACTAAACTGGAGAACCGTCCATCCAGGGACACGTCCTAGGGGTGTGTGCTACTAGAGATCCTGGTTACCCTCTGACAAAAGTGGGGGGCTCATAATCTTCCCCCTGATGGACTGTATGGCAGAGAGGGGACATGGCTGGATGGAGCTTGGAGCCTGTCACTCCACCCTCTGAGCCTGGGACTTATCAGTACCCAGAGGAAGTCACATCTCCTGCAGGTGCATCAGGGCACAGAGCAGGTGCTCAGCCATGGGCAGCACTGTTATTATTCCCATGGATACAGATCTTCGGGGATGGAGGGGCTGCAAACCCTCTCATTCCCTGGAAACCCGGGAGGTGGACGGGGCCTGAGCCGCTCACCTCGTCCATCTCTCAGGACAATCTCGCCCTCGCCCGATATCCAGCGGTAGCAGGGGAACTCAATGTAATCCCCACAGGGCGTCTTCACTGTGATGTACTTCAGGTACCAGTCGTCGTGGAGCCAGTACTTGCGCTTCTCGATTTTGATCAGTTGGATGTCGCCCAGTTCTTCATCCACTGTCACATCGTAAGAATCAACCTGAGAAGGAGAAAAGGCAAATCAGACAGTCTGGGAGCCCCTGAGCCTTTGTATCATCTTCAGTTCGTTTAGCAGAGATGTCTGCCGATGTCTGCCCTTGGCGTGGCTCTGTGCTGCTCCCTGGGTGACAGAGATGGCCAAGTCCCCCAGCTCTGCCCCAAGGAGATGGAAGTGAATAAGTGACAGTGCTGCTCGGAGGGAGACCTTCTGTTGTCTTCACAAGGCCCAGGGTGGAGAAGGTGGAGGCTCCAGGCAGGCGTGCCCTCCTCCAGGCCAGGCTCAGTGAGGGCCTCTACAGCTGACCCCACTCACAAGGGCAGCAGGCTGCTGGCCCTGCTACCCTCTAGGACTGGATGAGGCAAACTGGCCCTTGTACACAGGGGCAACTGGCAAAGGGCTCGCTGAGCTGCTATCGATTCCACAGGCACTTTGTGGGGAGGGAAGGTTAGGACCTGTGTCTCAGATGCAGACAGTGAGACTCAGTCCCACTTCCACTGCTAACTGGCAGAGTTGGACTTCCAATCCAAGCCTTTCCATATGTCTCTCATTACCAATGGGGCAAATAACTGAGTGAAAATGAGGAGGCTCAGGTGAAAGTGAAGCCACACAGATTCAAGCTGTCCCGGGGCCAATGCAGTTTCCTGAGCCACAGTGACGCCAAGAAAATCAGATGAGTGGTTCCCACTACGTCGCAGGCATAGCGGGGGGCTGAGGCTGGCCTTGCTGCCCCAGGCCACGTGGAGCACTGCACCCCAGGCTGCTGCCAGGCTCCTGACCCCAGAAGACGAGCTGGCATGGTGGCAGCGCTGCTGGAGGCTCTCTTCTCCATTATGTGTAGCTGGGAGAGAAGGATGGGGGCTCAAACACTGCATTGGGTGTTCTGAAGACCAGCAGGTTCGGGAAGCCCCAGACTCAATGCCATCTGAGGCACTTTCTAAGCCAGAATTCCCCCATCTCTGAAGTTTTTCCTTGGTGGCAGAACTTAAAGAGTTCTCAGTGCAATAGTGAGATAAGTGGAGGGGACGGGTGTTCCTTGTGCACAAGACCCTGTGCATCCCCATTTCCATCTTCGCCCTCCAAATGCCAGGACACCCCTGGGAGGACTTCTTAAGAAGAGTGGGAAGTTGGATATTTTCAGCAAACCCTCTGGCTCTGAGCACAGGGAGCTATTTGCGTGTCTTTGCTGCTGCGGATGCTAGACGCTTATGGTCAGAAAGCGGAAGCCTCTTGCCAGTTTCCTGTGGTCTGGGCCTTTGCTCTCCCTCCTCCCAGCTCCTCTGGTCATCTAGCCCCTCACTGGGACTCCTCTCCCAACCTGGGGCCTGACACCTTCTCCCCAGGGATCAGCAGTCTGTAGAACAGACAGCCCCCTCCCTGCCCAAGGCCCCACGGGCCTGGGGGTCACCGTTCTCTGTGAACTTTTCTGAGATCCCTGCTCTCTCACGAGAAACACTGTGGGACAGGAGGGTTCTTTTGCCTGAAGGGTGGGGCGTCTGGCAGAACAGATAAGCTGGCTCACCTGTCAGGGACCCACCACACGGGCTGGCTACTCTGTCGCCAGAAACTGTTTCTCGCTGAGAGCCCCACTGAGGCTGAGTGAGACCTGCAGGCATCTTGCTGCTGGCAGCGCAGACCCAGCAGAGGGAAGTCAACATGTGGCGAAGTGCGGTGAATCCTAGGCCCCGGGTGGCGGCTCCAGGGGAAGTGGCTTTGCTGTGGCTCCGCAGGGGTGGGGGTGGGGGGCTGCAGGTGTCTGGAGGCTGATGCAGGAAGGCTGAGGTGAAGGGGAGAGAACAGCCACTTCAAGTGGCAAGAGCCATGCGCCTCTGAGGTGGACATTCTCAGGGAAGGGGGATGGAGCCCCGGGAGCCTCTCCAGGGCGATTCTCAGAGGGAGGGCCAGACGTCCAGCTGTGGGTAGGGACTGATAAAGAAGGGACAGGGTAGCTTCTTTGAGGGAAGGGAGAGCAGGGTCACCCTGTGCACGCCTATGTGCAGTCACAGGAGAATGGACCCTTCAGGTCCCCCGGCCCCAGTGGCCCCTACAGGTACCTGGTGGAAGGCCCTGGAGCTTCACCTGGGATGGAATCAGTGGACAGACTTACAGGGACTCAATATGCTATCTGACGGGGAGCGGGAAGGACAGGCCTGAGAGTCTGGCTGGTCTCCTGCTGGCCCTGGCTTTGGAGCAGTGCCCCAGGAGGCAAACGAGGGTCCGAGGAATTCAGTCCTCACTCGGGCTGTCTAGGGACAAAGTCTGGTGACTGGGCACTGGTTTCTGAGCGAGTTACTGCTGGAGAGTCACAGAGGATAGAGGGGGCCTCCGGGAAGATCTCAGGGTCCTGTACATCAAACAGAAAATCAGGTCTTAGGAAGGAACAAAGAGCCAGAAGGTGTAATGACCTTCCTTCCTCCTTTCCTGGGCCAGTATGCTGGATGGATACTATGTTTGTTGACTCATTTGCCTTGACTCATTAACATCACATGTCCATTCTGCACATTCTACAGTGCCAACAGTGGACGGCATGATGCACAATAAATAGAGTACATGTGCATGGCTGAGTGGATGATTATCTTATTTTATAGCTGGAAACTGAGGTTCAGAGAGATCAGGCAGCTACCACACTAGTAAATAACTGGTGGCCCCATGACTAGAACCCATAGCTGTGTGATGGCCCAATCTGGGTTCCTCTCAGTTTTCCCGATGATCACATCGTGGGAAAAGCCTTGGCCTGGGAGCCAGGTGACCTGGCTTTGAGCCCGGGTTCAAGCCCTCCATGGAGTGTGAAGGTGATGTGGAATGGGGTGGAGGACATGGAAAAGCTTCCTACGAGATGGCATTTGAGGCAGCTCTTAGGAGTTGGTAAGATTTTGGAGGTGAGCTGAGTGGAGAAGGGGAATGAGCAGGGCATTCTGAATGTGGAGGAAGGAGGTGAGGAATTCACATGTGGGAGGAGGAGTCTGGTGCATGGAGCTCTTGGGGCAGAAGTGTTGGGTGCAGCAGTCAGGCACTGGAGAGAGATGTGGAGGCAGGGGAACCTGATATTCACTAGCCTCCTTTCTCAGGAGAGCCAGCTTGCTGATTTCATCCAGTTGCTCTCAACTCAACATTGGACACATAGCTCTAAGGCTTTGGAATATTTCAGCAAAGTATTAGTTGGTCAGTTTTTGTTTTGATTTTTATATTGGCATTTAAAGAAAGGTTCCATTTGTCTCTGCCCCAGATTCCTGCTACAGCAAGGACAGAGAACAGTCATGATGTGGTCCAGCCTGGACTGCCTGTTGTGGAGGGGGCTAATGAGGGGCTGATGGGGGGGTGGGAAGGGAGAGGAGGGGGTTGTGGAGCAGAGAGAGAGAGGGAGGTGATTAAGGGGTGGATAAGGGAGAGGCTAGGGCAGAAAGAGGGAGAAAAGGGGCAGTGGCTAGGGAGATTAAAGAAGCAAAGAATTGGGGAGCTGCGGGAATCTAGGAGACAGCAGAAGGGAGAAACTGGAGCAGAAGAGATTCAGGGCATTGGGGAACTGTGAGGAAAACGGAGCAGAGGAAGGAAGAGAAGCAGGAAGAAGAGGCAGAACGTAGGGAATAGATGGCACAGAGAGGGAAGGTGAAGGATAGACTGAAGATCACGAGGAAATACTTTTTCTTCAGATTTCCCAGGCAAGAATACTGGAGGGGTTGCCATTTCCTTCTCCAGGGGATCTTCCCCACCCCGGGGACTGAACCCGAGTCTCCTGCGTTCCAGGCAGATTCTTTACCATCTGAGCCACCAGGGAAGCTCTTATTCTTCAGTAATATAGTCTTTCTGGGAAGGCAGTATTCTAGAATATATTCTTCATGAACATATTGTAAGAATATTCCCTGAAAATATTTAAGAAGTAAAGCTGTAAGACGTTCACACTTACTGACCACGTTCAAGGAGATATACTAAACATCACCTTTGCTTTGCTGCCAGGGAATGAAAAAGTCTCAGGTTAAGATTTCCCAGAAGTCTTGGGATCTGTGAAAGTCATCCCACCTGGACTTGAATTACTTTAAATGGACAGAGTCGAAGAAACACCAATTTGCTAAATTTGCCTTGACAGGAGAATCTCACCTGTGAAGGACTCTGATTCCCACTCCAGTCCTGAATCACTCTGCAGAACTCTGATGAGAATAACCAGTGATTTGTGACTCAATTTATTGCAAGGGAAAAAAAGCAGTCCTGTTCATTACAGGGACTGAATTTTGAGTGAGTGGGGTGGGGTGTTGACCTGACAATGACCTGGAAATGTCTGAATTGGTTGCCTGGAAAAAGTCTTTATTGTTGTTACCATTACTGTTATTATCTATAATGACTGTAACACTTTTTAGGTTAAATGGGATAGCATTATCTTCTCCGCAAGTATTTCCTCTAAGATTTCTCTCACACCTTTACCACAAAGGGACAGATTGTCCTTAAAGAGACATTGGCTGGAGAATGAGGAAGTAGCTCTGGGCTGTGCAAGACCAAGTGTGGAGTAACTTTGCATCAACGGGAACTTTCTCAAAAGCTGATTTTTTTCAAAGAGCCTTTTGGAGACAGCAAGTCCCCTGCAGTGCCCTTCCCAAAGTGCCCCTTCTCCCAATGGAAATGTGATATGCAAACTCTCCTGAAATTTGCTTCTGGGACTCTCACCGAGGTGTTTAATCACAATGTCATTTGAATGAATTGTCAGGGTGGGGAAATAATGAACAGAGGGATGCTTTCATCTCTCTTCCAACGACCTTGTTATGGTCACATCCTTATATCCCCTCTGAGAAGCCACACCCAACAGCATGAGCACACCGATATGTGATATGCGTAGTGTATGAAGGAGAATGGACCCCCTGAAGACAGATTATAAAGATCAAGCAGTCTGTACCCTGTCCTCCTCGCATACGTGTTGGCGGAATCCACAAAATAATGGAAATAAATGATGGCACTTCAGAAATAGCTGAGGGTGTCATCACCCTGAATGGATGATTCATTAGCCCTCCTGCACCACCATCCTCTCGGCCAGGTCCCTGGTTGGGGAAACCAAACAACAGGAGGTAGTTCTTATACTCAATGCCTAACTCTTCCGTAAGGGTACTCTCTAGCCGCATAAGTATGCTGAACTTGGCTAATTGTCAGTTAGGCTTATAGAGCGAGGTTCTGAGGCTCCTGGGTAGGAATCAAGCCCATTCTGAGTTTCCAGTCTGGAAAAGGAGTGGACTGTTACTGGCTGACTTTAGGCTCTGCAAACCTAAAACATGCTTTGTAAATATTGCCCAAGAAGTGTTTGGTTGAACCATATGAAATTGCCAGTTTTATTTGTCAAAAATAGTCAACTATGAGTAATTCCTTTTGGTTCAACAAAATAATGAAGAGGTAAAAAGACAGCTTTATGAAATCTAAATCTTTACGGTCCAGTTCAGAAGTTGGGAGTGGCAGGAAGGAACAGATATTTTCTGGGTACCTGTAGTGTGTTGGGACTATTAGCACATTTAACGAGCACTTAAGTAATGATCATTTAATAAACCCAGTGGACTGGACACCAACTGGTAAGGGCCAGTTGTGAGCACCTCTGTGCTCACAGAGAACGCTACAGGCTAGAATTCACTCCCAGGTCAGCATTGCGAATCCACTTCTGAAGGAAACCTCACTGCAGCGCGTGTTACCACAGACTAGACGTGCAGTCAACACGGGGTCCCTTTGCTGCCTGTACTCCCAAGGCGTCAGGGTCTCCGGTGAGGCGGGCAAAGGGGAAGGCTTCCTCCCTCTTCCTCTTCTGAACACTCACACCCCGGGGGAAGTGTTCCCCTGTGTACACTTTACTGGGAGCCAGTGAAGACCTCCAGGTTTGCAAAAGGCTTCTCCAGGCCTCGGTCTCTCGTTCCTTCGCTCTGCCTCCTTCTGGAAACCTGGCCTGGGAATGTGAGCTGCCTAGGTGTGGAGACATTAGCTAGTGCCACACTGAACCACCGGCCGGGAGTCCTAGACCAGCCGGAAGCCCACCCTTGCACTTTATGTCTGGGGAAACTGAGGCCCGGGAAGGGGGCGGAGCGAGCTAGGGATCAGGCCCCGGTGGAACTCAGGTCTCCGGATCCCTAACCCTACCCATTCTCCCCACTGCTGAGGTGCCATCTATGGAGTCCCACGAAGTGGGCGCAAGTAATGGTCACAGCACTTGCCCAGTTAAGGATTCTCTTAGAGCCCCTCGCCCCCAAGCTCGGGTCCCCGTCACCCCGATGGGTCCTGGACGCGCCCGCACCCCGTCCCGCGGCCGCCCAGCCCGTCCCGGCCGCGCGCGCTCACCGCGCCGCGCTCGAAGTCGTTGTAGAAGGGCTTGTCCAACAGGTGCTTCTCGCTGCAGCCCGCGGAGCCCACGAGGCTCAGGTAGATGTAGTCGTCGGTGCCCGCGAACCACTGGCTGCCGGTGGCCACGGTGACGGTGTAGGAGGGCATGGCAACGCGCAGCGGGGGCCGCGGGGCGCGGGCGCAGCCAGCACGGGGAGCCTCGGCGTGCCTCGGCACCTCTCCCGCCGGGCGCCGCAGCTTCCTCCCTCTGGGCCCGCCCTCCCGCGGCTCATGCCCAGCCGGACTCGCCTAGAGCGCCTCGAGCGTCACCCCGGCCTGCACCTCACGTCCTCGACTTGGAGTCTGTTTTAGCAGTCAGGGAACCGGGGCCGCCCAGCTGCTCCCCCTCCTCCCTCTCTCTGTCCCTCAGCTCACTCACTCAGTTTCTCCTTCGCTGTTTCCACTCTTCACCCTTCCTTCCTGCCTCGGCCTCCCTCAGTCCCGAGTTCCTGTGAGGCATTACGGCTGGGCTCCAGGGACCGCTAGAAAACCAGACACAGCCCCTGCTCTCACTGAGTCCCCGGGGGAGTGGGAAGCCGCGCGATCGAGGCAGTTCCGTGATTCTTGAGAGCAGGGGTGCTCTGGGAGTCTAGCGCGGGAAGAGGAGCCCACGTGGGGCGTCAGCTAAGCTTTTCAGGGGTGACACCTGAGTAGGTACCTTGACACTTCCGTGGGCATTGGCTTCCTCCACGGCCTTGGTGGAAGGTCACAATAGGCCAGGTGTAGGGGGGCCCAGAGGGGAGTCAGGTGCCAGCTACGCTCAGGCCTAGAGATGGTCGGTGTGTAGTGGGAGGCAGGGCAGCCAGAGAGGGAGGGGAGGCCAGGATAGGAAAACTGGAATCCGGACACCTAGGAGGGTGTATGGAGGGGGCTAGCGCTCGGAAGGGTTGCAGAAACTTGGGGGCAGGGAGGCTGGGCGCGCAATAGGACTTGTTTGGAGATGGTTTGGGAGTGGAAGGATGGCCGGAAGTCTAGGGAAGATGATGTGGACTCCATAGCAAGGATGTTCCAGGAGTTAGAGCTGGTTTTGGAAAACCCGCTGCCTGGCAGAGTTTTATTTATTCATTTATCTATTTTAATTATATTTTAATCGGCTTTGTAACTGATGATGGGCAGAGGCCTGGAAGGGATGGTAGTTAAAGGCTTTGTGTGCAAGAGGGAAGAGAAGGCAATGGCAACCCACTCCAGCACTCTTGCCTGGAAAATCCCATGGACGGAGGAGCCTGGTAGGCTGTAGTCCATGGGGTCGCTAGGGGTCGGACACGACTGAACAACTTCACTTTCACTTTTCACTTTCATGCATTAGAGAAGGAAATGGCGACCCACTCCAGTGTTCTTACCTGGAGAATCCCAGAGATGGGGGAGTCTGGTGGGCTGCCATCTATGGGGTCGCAGGGAGTCCGTCAAGACTGAAGCGACTTAGCAGCAGCAGCAGCATCAGTGCTAGAGGGAAACTTCCCGCCGGTGGTCAGCTTTCTAACTGCTGTGTCCTGATCTCAGAAGTCTTCTGTATTCCCCTACACCTCCCCCATGCCCAACTGCAAAACTGACTGTGGTATGCATTCAGTAATGAGTTGAACTAAATTTAAAAATAAATTCATTCCACCTGAGGTAGTGGGTCCATAAAATTGCCTGTTTTGCACACTCACTTTTGGGGACAGGCAGAGGCAGGCTAAAAGCAGACCTCTCATTTCTGGGAGCTGAGACTACCTGGTGGCAAATTCTGCTTTCCTCCTTTGCCTGGTAGGACCACCGCTCTGGGCAGAGAGAGAGAGTGAGTACCTGCCATTTCTACAGGTGGGAATGAGGGCAGATTTCAGTGGGACTGGCTTTATTTATCAGAGGACAAATACCAGAGGGATTCTCTGGGAATCAACTTGTAGGACATGAAAGACTGGCCACAGTTGAGATACGGTGGATGATGATAGCACAAAAGTGGGATCCAACCCCTGCCAGCCAAAATATGTGCTCCAGGGAACTCTGGAGAAGGTATGCAGGATGGCTATGGAAATGTTCTTCAAATCTAAGAATAAAATGGCCATTATTCTTTTAGAAAAAGGAAATACAGTATGTTTTTTGATGAAAGTAATGAACTATCTTTGTAGGAGGTAGAAGTTTGATACACAAATAAAACTCATAACAATATGCAGAAAAAGCAATTAGTAAACACTAATTGCCTTATATATTTTTATATTAAGAGCACATTGTATGTGTAATCTCCTGTCATATTTCTGTTCTCCTTACTATTATAAGATATTTTGTTATGAAATTTCATGTCTTAAATATTTTGTCAACTGTGTAATATTTAATTGTAATTATATGGATATACCATCCTTTCTTAGTTAATCCATTATTATTGGGCATTTAGATTGCTTTCCTTCATAAATAATGCTGTAGTACATATTTTGTGCTTAATACATTAAAAAAAGTTTTTCTTAATATAGGGACCAAAGTGTATGAACATTTTGAAACCTTTGTAACATGTTATTAAGCTACTTCCCCAAGCACTGAGTTCATTTACACTCATGACACTCTCACTCTCACTCATTACACTCATTTTCTCTCACGCAGAAAATGAAATGAAATGTCTGTTTCAACAGAAACTTGGCCATCTTGGGATAGTATCTCCCAAAATATCTCCATCTTGTTCTTGCTGCTCTGCCCTGGCTCAGTCTTTCAACATCTTCTGTATGGATTGTAGTGACTTCGTCCTATCTACTATCTTTATCTCTAGTCTAACTGCCATCCCCCCACCCCATCCCCCAATTCTCTGTAGCCTAGGTGGAGTCATCTATTGCCTTACTTAAAGTCCAAGGTGGTTTACTTTTTTCCTTTTGTCCCTCCCTTCCTTTCTTCTTCTTTTTTTTTTACAGCTTTATTGAGATGTAATTAGCATGCCATGCATTTCACTCATTTAAAGGATACATGTCAATAGTGTTTAGTAATGTAATGTTCAGAGAGTTCTGAGACTTTCACCACAGTCAATTTCAGAATATTTTCATCATCTGCATTAGCAGTCACTTCCCATTGGTGGTGGTAGTTTAGTCGCTGAGTCGTGTCTGACTCTTGTGATCCTGTGGACTGTAGTCTGTCAGGCTCCTCTGTCCATGGGATTCTCCAGACAAGAATACCAGAGTGGGTTGCCTTTTCCTTCTCTCTTCCTTTTTTCAGTCAGGGCAAACAAATCTATTTTCTATCTTTACAGATTTGCCTGTCCTGGACATTTCATATGAGTGGAATCATACAATATATGACCTTTTGTGACTGACTTCTTTCACTTAGTATTTTTTTCCAGGTTGATCCATGTTGCATCATGTATCAGTACTTTACTCCTTTTTGTTGCTGAATAATATTCCATTTTATGTATATACCACATTGTGTTTATCTGTTCATCAGATGATGGAAATTTGAGTTAGGGCTATTATAAATAATGGTGATATGAACATTCAAATGTTTGTGTATACTTATGTTTTCATTTCTCTTCAGGAAATAACTATGAAGAGAATTGCTGGATCATTCCCCTTGACCCAGGGGATACAAATAACTTGATGTGTTTATCATTTTGAGGAAATGCCTGATTGTTTTCCAAAGTGGTTGTACCATTCTGTGTTTTCATCAGTAATATACAAAGTTCTGTTCTCTCCATATCCTCATCAACACATTATATTCTTTGTGAAAGGGTATCTCACTGTGGGTTTGATTTACACTTCCCTAGTGTTCTTGCCTGGAGAATCCCAGGGCCAGTGGAGCCTGGTGGGCTGCCATCTATGGGGTCGCACAGAGTTGGATACGACAGAGTTGGAAGCGACTTAGCAGCAGCAGCAGCAATTGCTAATGATGATGAGCATCTTACCTCATGTTATTGGTCACTAGTATATATTCTTTTGAGAAATGTATATTTAGATCTTTGACTCATTAAAATGTTTAGCTTGTTTATCTTTTCATTATTGAGTTGTATGTGTTCATACATTGTTGATAGAAGCCCCTTATCAACTCTTTTATAGATACTTTGTTGCTTTCTTTTCAGTTTTTTAAATGGTTATATTTGAAGCACAAAAGTTTTTAATTTTAAGTAAGCCCAAGTTATATATATTTTCTTTTGTTGCTTGTGATTTTAGTGCCATATCCAAGAGACTGTTGCCTATGCTAAAGTCACAAAAATTTACTCCTATGTTTTCTTCTAAGAATTTTATCACTTGAGTCTTCATTTAGACCTATGGTCCATTTGTTAATTTTTATGTATGGTATAATATAGGGATCGAAATTCATTCTTTGGCATATGAATATACAGTTGTCCTGGACTGTTGAAAAGAAGAGTCTTTCTCCACTGAATTGCCTTGGCATCTTTGTAAAAAGTGAATTCACCATAATGTAAGGGTTTATTTATGGACTATCAACTTTATTCCATTGACCAATATGTGTGTCTTTTGTCAGCGCCACACTGTGTTGATTACTGTAACTTTTTAGTGAGTTTTAAATTGAGAAGTGTGAATCTGCCCTTGTTCTTTATTTTCCAAGAATGTTTTGCCTATTTTGTGTCCATTGCATTTTCATATAAACTATAGGATCAACTTGTAAATTTCTGCAAAAAATAAAGGCAACCGTGACATGATTACCACAGTCAAACCAGTAAACACATCCGTTACTTCATTAGTTACTTTTGGGGGGGGTGTGTGGCAAGAACACTTAAGATTTACTCTGTTAGCACATTTCAAGTATACAAAAGAGTATTATTAACTATAGTCACCATGCTGTGCATTAGATGCCTAGAACTTATACATCTTATAGCTGAAAGTTTGTACCCTTTGACCAACCTTTCCTGATTTTCCTACCACTACCCTGGGTAACTACTGCTGTACTCTCTGGCTTTGAGTTTGACTTTTTAAGATTCCACATATAAGTGAAATCATACAGTGTTTGCTTTCTGTGTTTAGTTTGTTATACTTGGCATGATGTTCTCCAGGTTCATCCATGTTGTCACAACTGGCAGAATTTCCTTTTTTATGGCTGAACACTATTCCACTGGGTGAAGCACACACACATACACATATATATGTATGTATATATCACATTTTCTTTATTCATTCATTTATTTGTCAAAACTTAGGTTGTTTCTGTTTCTTGCTATTGTGAATAGTGTTTCAATGAATATTGAAGTGCAGATATCTCTTCAAGATCCTTCCATTTCCTTTGGATATATACCCAGAAGTGGGATTGCT